AGGAGATTAGATTGCAAATGTTGTGGCTTGGCTCTCCGACACACCGGTGTGCTGAACTAGTGACGAAATGGTCACGTTCTGTTGACGTGACAACCCTTACTAGTTGGCTGTGTCGGGTGGTGGCGGGTTTAACGACACATTCATATATTTACGCGATCTAACCCAAAGACCTCTATTATGAATGTTGATGTTTATGGTAATGATGATGGTGATCACGATGTTGATGATGGCGATGATGATGGTAATGATGATGGTGATGATGGCGATGATGATGACGCTGATGATGACGCTGATGATGATGCTGCTGATGATGCTGCTGATGATGACGCTGAGGATGATGACGCTGATGATGCCGCCAACGATGCCGCTGCTGATGACGATGCCGCTGCTGATGACGCTGCTGATGATGATGCCGCTGCTGATGATGCCGCTCATGATGATGCTGATGATGACGCTGATGATGATGCTGATGATGATGCTGATGACGCTGATGATGATGCTGATGATGACGATGATGATGACGCTGATGATGACGCTGATGACGCTGCTGATGATGCCGCTCATGATGCTGATGATGACGCTGATGATGATGCTGATGATGATGCTGATGATGATGACGCTGATGATGATGCTGATGATGACGCTGCTGATGATGCCGCTCATGATGATGCTGATGATGACGCTGATGATGATGACGCTGATGATGCTGATGATGATGCTGATGATGACGCTGATGATGACGCTGATGATGCTACCAACGATGCCGCTGCTGATGATGCCGCTGATGCCGCTGATGATGCCGCTGATGCCGCCGCTGCTGATGATGATGCCGCTGCTGATGATGCCGCTGCTAATGATGCCGCTCATGATGATGCTGATGATGACGCTGATGATGCTGCCAATGATGCCGCTGCTGATGATGCCGCTGATGCCGCCGCTGATGATGATGCCGCTGATGATGCCGCTGCTGATGACGATGCCGCTGCTGATGATGCCGCTGATGATGCCACCGCTGATGATGCCGCCGATGCCGCCGCTGCTGCTGTGTGGATGAGCGGCAGTTGGCGCGATGATGGTTAAGCCACGGTATCGTGGGGTGAGTTTCATTCTTGGCAAGCGCTTTGCTATGTTTGATCCTTGATTTTGACTTAAAACTTTCGTGACTGCAGGAATTCATATTCTTGGTTCTTTCGGTAAAGTCACGTGGATAGAAAAAATAAATGTGAATCAAATAAACAAATTAAATAAAAACGTTTCGATCCCAACACATGACGATGAATATTTTTTTTACTAGCTGTGATTTTCACACCTGATGATGATTGCTTGTGTTGCAATCGAAACGTCGTGATTTAATTTAGTTACTTCTTTTTTTATTCTTATTTGTATTTTTTTATTTTCACCTACGTGACTTTACCGAAAGAACCAAAGAGTATGGATCCGTGCAGTCACGAAAACTTCAAATCTGGAAAAAAACATTGTGTTTTTATTTTATTTATTCAAGCCAAATCATCAGCAGTAGCAGCAACGGCCACAACTATTTTTAAAATTTTGTTTTAATTTTGATCAGGTAAGGCCCCAACCGGAGCTACAGAGATCTTTTTCAGAAGCCATCACACAACTGACAGCTCAAACGAAGTGGGCATCTTTCGATTTAAAGCTTTCGTGACTGCAGGGCTTCATCTTCTTGGTTCTTTCGGTAAAGTCACGTAGAAGGGAAATAATAAAATAATAAAAATAAAACATCATAAAATAATTCTCACGTTTCGGCCACAACGCAAGCAGCCGTCCTCACATCGTGAGAATTATTTTATTATGTTGTATTTTTATTATTTTATTATTTCCCTTCTGCGTGACTTCACCGAAAGAACCAAGAAGATGAAGATCACCGTCATCGTGTGGACATTGAAAGCAGCCAAGCACTCTAAACGTGTGGTGATGTCGATTCTAAATGTGGAGGGGTAAACCCGGAGGACCAGGAGAAATATCCACGCGACCACGGGGGGAGAGAGAGATACGCAGACTCCAAATAGACAGCAGCAGGCGTCAGGGTCGGGATCGAACCCACGACCTCCTGTATACCAGGCGAGGTAGTTAACATTTCCTAGCCACCGTGATGATGATGAGAGAGAGACACGCAAACTCCAAATATACAGCAGCAGGCGTCAGAGTCGAGATCCAACCCACGACCTCCTGTATATCAGGCGAGGTAGTTAACATCTCCTATCCACCGTGATGATGAGAGAGAGACACGCAGACTCCAAATATACAGCAGCAGGCGTCAGGGTCGGGATTGAACCCACAACCTCCTGTATACCAGGTGAGGTAGCTAACATCTCCTAGCCACCGTGATGATGATGAGAGAGACGCAGACTCCAAATATACAGCAGCAGGCATCAGGGTCGGGATCGAACCCACGACCTCCTGTATACCAGGCGAGGTAGTTAACATCTCCTAGCCACCGTGATGATGATGAGAGAGAGAGACACGCAAACTCCAAATATACAGCAGCAGGCGTCAGGGTCGCGATCGAACCCACGACCTCCTGTATACCAGGCGATGTAGTTAACATCTCCTAGCCACCATGATGATGATGAGAGAGACACGCAGACTCCAAATATACAGCAGCAGGCGTCAGGGTCGGGATTGAACCCACGATCTCCTGTACACCAGGCGAGGTAGTTAACATCTCACTATCGTGGCACCTCAGTCGCACGCACGCCAGGTCGCTGCTCGCTTTGCTGCACCCTTCTCAGATGTTCTTTTGCAACTGCCCACGAGCCCTTTCGGGGTGTGAACAGTGACTGCACCCACCACGGGAGAGGGGCACAATTGACGTCGTAGCATCATCATCGTTGTTGTTGTTGTGAATGTCAAGCTTGTTTACCGGAGAAACCTCTTTGGGTCAGGGGAGGCCTGTCAAGCCCTCGCAGGAGCGGCAGGCCGTGGTGGAAGTGACGTTGCTGCGAGCTCGTTCCCAGTCGAGTCATTTGCAGTGTCATTTTCTTCACCATTGGGGTTGTTTCGGCCAAAGGCAGTGGTGATATATTGTGTCCCTATTGGCCCTGTACCGCGACACCAACTGGCACCGCCGCGTCAATGTGCCTACGGCGCGCCTGGCAAACGCTGGTGGCCGCAACGCCTGCCCGCCCGCTCGCCCGCTCGCCCGCCCGTCCGCCCGCTCGCTCACCTGCCCGCCCGCCTGCTCGCCCACCCGCCCGCTCGCTCGCCCGCCCGCCTGCTCGCCCACCCGCTCGCCCGCCCGCTCGCCCGCCCGCCCGCCCGCCCGCTCGCCCGTTCGCCTGTTCGCCCGCCCGCTCGCCCGCGGAAATAACCAGGGCTCGACCCCTGCCGAGCTTCCGAGATCGAGCGAAATCTCTGGCGATCGCGGGGCGGTCGTAGCAAACGATGAACGTGCCGCGCAGAAGGGCACACTGCCCAAAGACGTCGCAGATTTTAGATAATTTTTTGTTTATTTTAAAGCCTGCAGTGGTCGTTGACTGTGCTCATGCACCGCAATGCAGCGGCATCATCATCATCAGCAGCATCAGCACCGCCACCACGACGACCACGACCAAATAATTTGCACCAACAGAAGACAGGGAAAAAAAACAACTCCGTTTATTTCTCGTCAACACGTCACGTTGCGCACTGCAAATAACGATGCACCTTCTGCTTCACGCAGGGAAGCCTCTCTCCCCTCGGGAGTCTCAAAACCTTCTCGGAGAGGGTCGTCCCTGCGACGACTGTGGCGGCGTGGGCCGGAGTCCTCGACGGGCTGGGGGGGGGGGCAGCCCCCTCTCGCGCTAACGACGAACCAACGCGCTAACGACGGCGCCGTTGAGTCGCTGTGCTCCCGCTCGTTCGTGCAGCGCTACGGTTCCCATCCTTGCGCGGTCCACCGACACCTCCCTCCCAGCGCCCCCGTTACTGCGGGCCCGGCCATTGCGGTCAACCGCACCTGCCTGCCAACAAATACAAAAATAGACAACGGAGCATATTGCTGAACGCGATACGGCACAAGTGTATTTACAAACAGTCGCAATCACACTTTTGACAATTCCGCAATGTCAGAGCTAGCTCCGTCATGATATCCGTTTCCACAGGCAAATTCTCTAACAGTTGAAGGAATATCAGAGCTAGCTCTGTGGTGTCCGCGTCCGCAGGCTGCTCACCAAGACAGCGCAAGGGTCGCCCTGCCGCCGTGCGAGAGACGCGAAAAGGGAATGCCTTGTGACACGATCGCGATCAAAGACAATGCCTTGTGACACGATCGCGCCTTGTGGCACGATCGCAATGAACGAGAATGCCTTGTGATATGATCGCGGTAAAAGGGGATGCCTTCTTCTTGGTTCTTTTGGTAAAGTCAAGTAGAAGGGAAATAATAAAATAAAAAAAATAAAAATTTATTAAATACAATTCTCACGACGTTTCGCCCACAACGCAAGCAGCCGTCCTCAGGTGAAGAACAGGACTTTACCGAAAGAACCAAGAAGATGAATCCCTGCATTCACGAAAGCTTTAAAGGGAATGCCTTGTGACACGTTCGCGTTGAACGAGATCGCGATAAATAAAATAAAAACGCGAGCCGGTGCGTCGGTGCGTAACTCTTGTGGGTGGTGGGTGGGGTTACAAAACACGGGGGGGGGCTCGAAAAAACGCTGACGCGCCCCGTGCCGCGCGTGACGCACGGCCAGGACCCGCCGCTCGGGGATCCGGCTTCGAGTGTGACGTTTAAAAATAAAATAATAAAACGCGCCAAATATACACCGGTCCCCGCTGACCCCCGGCGATCATCGCCACGCACGGCGCATTCCTTCGCGAGCACCATTCCCCCCCCGCCCCCCCGGGGAAGGTGGCGGTGAGGGAGGAGAGACGGGAGGAGGTGGAAACAGGGTAATTTTAGCGGTCGAGGGAGGTGCGTGACCAACTTTGTCTCTTGCGAGACCCGCCCCGCGCGCGTGTATCCGCTGTCGCTGTCGCTGCCACCGCCGCTGCAAGAGAGCGGGCCGAGTGTAGGACGGCACGCGGTGGGACTACGGGACTTTATTGTGACGCTGGGGCCGGCTGGGGCCTGGCCCGTCACAACCTTCGGCCCCTTCCTCGCTGTTTACATCTGCGGTCGCATTCCTGCCATTGCACGGGCCAGCCTCCGGAGTCGTTTACCCTGTCTCTCCTCCGTCCTGCAAGCGGTCACCCCCCCCCCACCACCACCCGTCCACCACAACTCCCTCTTCTTCCTGTTTACATCTGCAATACTCTCGTCTGCCACGTCCTGTTCAAAATTTACGCGTTGCTTACTCTATCCCCTCCCTCCTCCTCCTCCAACCTGAAAATATAAAGATTTCCCCCCGCCACCGCCCCGCTCCGTAAAACCAAAACAAACTGTTGGGGCAAGTGCCGTGAGCGAGCACCACCTACGAAAGCCGACAACGGGACGCGAGGGCACGGGTGGCCAGCACCACGCCCGGCCGTCTTTGTCTCCCCAGTGGCGATGATTGCGCACCACACCGGCTAATCATCTGAGGCCGAGCCGACCTCGGAGAGGCCCAGAATCGGTTCAGGCAATTGTCTAACTGGCGTTGACCTGTGAGTGGGAATCGAACTCGGGTCGCAGGATTCACAGCGCGGGCGGCGCACTAACCGCCGCACTACCGCTCCCCGCATCCTACGCGCAGACACACACACACGCACGTCGCACACACACACACACACGTTGCACACACACACGTCGCACACACACACACGTCGCACACACACCGATCCCAGCGCCGCACTGGTGACCTGCACAAGGCTTTTATTGCCAGCCTCCCGAGTTGCTTATCCCATCACCCGGCCGTCAAATTCCGAGCAACTTGGGCAGGCAGCTATTATGCAAAGGTCAATATCTTATTTAGCCTTGGAGGGGAACACCCAACAGATACTTGTTGCTGCTGCTGCTGCTGCCATCACTGTGGCATTGACCCTCGCGAGGATTGGTGGGGAAGGTCATTAGGGGTGTCATGATTCGCCTTCCCCCCCTCCTCCCCCTCCCACCTGCCCCCCCCCTCCTCCCACCTGCCCCCCCCCTCCTCCCCCTCCCACCTGCCCCCAACCCTCTCCCCCTCCCATCTGCCCCCCCTCCTCCCCCTCCCACCTGACCCCCCCCTCCTCCCCCTCCTACCTGCCCCCCCCTCCACCCCCTCCCACCTGCCCCCCCTCTCCCCCTCCCATCTGCCCCCCCTCCTCCCCCTCCCACCTGCCCCCCCCTCCTCCCACCTGCCCCCCCCCTCCTCCCCCTCCCACCTGCCAAAACTTGACCCCTCTCCCCTTCCCTGTACACACGCGTACGTTTTACACCCCCCCCCCCCCCCCGCCCGAATCCTATAGAACGGCCGCTATTTAATCCACGCAGAAACGATCACGGATTAATAATATTAACGCGTTTAAGCAAACAGACAGTCCACCGCCGGACTATCGAACTCATTTGAAGGCCAATGTAGACAAATAGACACATTATTATCGAGGCTTCACCCCCCCGCCTCCCCCGTTTCCCATGCGTACATTGTCAGTAGACCCCCATACGCACGCGTCTGGGTTAACTCCACCCTCCCCCCTCCATGCGTACATACGCGATGGATGGCCCCTGAATGCAGTGGCCTCCAGCGGCTGCCGGAGGGCCACGTGAGGCCGTCGTACGCGCACAGCCCACTCCACTGCTGGACAAGGGCCTTGGCACGCCGCGCGGGGGTGGCGATGTGGCCGGCGCCTTCCCTGACCGTCTTTGTCTCCCCGGCGCTGGCGTTTTATGCGTCGCACCATTCATTAAGGCCGAGTCGACCCAAAGGAGGCCCAGAACCGGTTCGGATGCCAATCGCCACGGACGCTAGCCTTGGCTGGGATATCGAGGTCGCAGCACAAGCGCGCTGACCACTGCACCACCACTCTCCCCCGCGCCACACAGCGCACGGACGGCTTGATGCACGCCCAGGCATGGACATGTCTCCTCCCTCGTCTGGTGTACACATTCGTACGATCGTCACCCGACAGATCTGGTTAAAGTTCCCGGGGTAACTTCATTCGCGATTGTGCTACGATCGGCCGGTAAATCATTATAACACTGGTCAACACACTTTTTCTGGCATGAGGTATTCCAACGGTTTTAAGGTAATTTTAGGGTGCTGATTCCAAATCTGGCATCAGTTTTTGTCTATCACATCAGGTTGTTTTTGAGATATCAAATATTGCATTTTCAATAAAAACTGCAGAAGAAAAATATTAAATAAATGTGAATTTCTACATAAAGTGATATTATAAACACACTATCCTAAAAATACAGCACCATAATTTAACACTAAAGCAGTCACTGACTCGCAACAACTTGCAATCATAAGTGACAGAGTTAATTTCGGGTAAAATCAATGAAAATGAGGTATGCCGATAGCATACAAATGAGATGTGATAGAGCAAATCTGAGATCAGATTTGGAATCGGCACCCTGAAATTAATCTAAAACAGCTGCAAAAGTCCAGGCCAGAATTTTTGTTTTTTTGTTGACCAGAGTATAATCCGTCCGAGCCGACTTACGCTCCAGGATATTCATCGCCCGACGTCCCATTTACGTTCCGCGCGATACTTTCTGTTCTTCTCGCGACAGCGACAGCGGCGGCGGGTGCCGCCCTTGCGGTCGTTGTTCCGCTTGCTCCGATTTCGATTTGCCTCGTCGCCGTATTTTTGTCACTCCGCACTTTGTTTTTTTGCTTTCGTCCGTTTGGCGACCCAACAGAGACTCATCCTTGGCCTCTTGAGTTCTCGCCTCCTGGTTAAACAAAACCAACTTGAGCTCGCTCGCTCACTCACTCACCTAAAAGACAGAGAAACCAGGATCGTGACCGGTTCAGATAACCGTCACCGGTGTTGGCCTCGAGCGGGAATCGAACCCGGGTCGCCGGGTTCGCAGCGCAGTCCGCTAACCACTGTGCCAAAAACAAAGATTCCCCGTACAGCCTCAACAGACTTTTGGAGCGAGTGCTGTTAGCGAGCGCCTATGAAGGTCGGCATGGCGCGCGAGGTGGTGGGTGGCCAGCACCACGCACGAACGCCTTTGTCTCCCCAGTGGCGATGTTTACACACCGCACCAGGTACTCATTTGAGGCCGAGTCGACCTCGGGGAGGCCCAGAACCGGTTCAGATAATCCCCACTCACTCACACACACACTATCTCACTTGCATATGTATGTTGAATTTCTTTCGCACCGTACGTAGCCAACCGTGCTAATCCCAACATCGTGTTCATTAAGTCACTCACTCACCATCTCACCCAGCATCTGACTCACTCATTCACTCACTCCCCATCTCACCCGGCATCTGACTCACTCATTCACTCACCCACCCACCATCTCATTCACCACGTCACCCAACATCAGACTCACTCATTCACTCACCCACCAGCTCACGCAGCATCTGACTCACTCATTCACTCACCCACCCACCATCTCATTCACCACGTCTCCCAACATCTAACTCACTCATTCACTCACCCACCCACCATCTCATTCACCACGTCACCCAACATCAGACTCACTCATTCACTCACCCACCAGCTCACGCAGCATCTGACTCACTCATTCACCCACCCACCCACCATCTCATTCACCACTTCACCCAACATCTGACTCACTCATTCACTCACCCACCCACCATCTCATTCACCACGTCACCCAACATCTGACTCACTCATTCACTCACCCACACACACCCACCATCTCATTCACCACGTCACCCAACATCTGACTCACTCATTCACTCACTCGCCAGCTCACCTACCCACTCATTCACGCAAACTGTTTGCAACGGGACTCCTACACAATCCTGCTCTCTTGAGCGTTAGCACCTGGCTCAACAAATGGAACCTTTCCTACATGGACGTGAATCGTCGACCAACGCGAAGCGCCGTGACCACCTCTGGGCAGTATGGGAGCGACCCCTGGTGGACACTCCGAGGGACAACGACCGGCCAGACCGCAGCGGACCCGGCACGTGACCCCAACCTGGTTGAACTCGCGGTTCAACACAATCAACTTGCACAGCACAGAACACACAGTACACACACAGTGCAGCACACACAGTACACACAGAGTACACTAAGAGTACACACACAGTACAGCACACACAGTACACACACAGTGCAGCACACAGTACATACAGTACACTAAGAGTACACACACAGTACACACAGTACAGCACACAGTACACACACAGTGCAGCACACACAGCACACACAGTACACTAAGAGTACACACACAGTACAGCACACACAGTACACACACAGTGCAGCACACACAGTACACTAAGAGTACACACACAGTGCAGCACACACAGTACACACAGTACACTAAGAGTACACACACAGTACACACACAGTGCAGCACACACAGTATACTAAGAGTACACACACAGTGCACACACAGTACAGCACACACAGTACACTAAGAGTACACACACAGTGCACACACAGTGCAGCACACACAGTACACTAAGAGTACACACACAGTACACACACAGTGCAGCACACACAGTACACTAAGAGTACACACACAGTACAGCACACACAGTACACACACAGTACAGCACACACAGTACACTAAGAGTACACACACAGTGCACACACAGTACAGCACACACAGTACACCAAGAGTACACACAGTGCAGCACACACAGTACACACACAGTGCAGCACACAGTGCAGCACACACAGTACACTAAGAGTACACACACAGTACACACACAATACAGCACACACAGTACACTAAGAGTACACACGCTGCACACGCAGTACACACACACTACACACGCAGTACACACACACTACACACGCAGTACACACACTACACACAGTACACACACACACACAACACACAGTACACACACTACACACGCAATACACAACACACAGTACACACACAACACACACACACAACAGATAGTACACACACTACACACGCAATACACACACACTACACACAGTACACACACAACACACAATACACACACAGCACACGCAGTACACACACACACTACACACAGTACACACACAACACATGCAGTACACACGCAGTACACACACACAGCACACGCAGTACACACACCACACACTACACACACTACACACACACTACACACACGCAGCACGCACGCAGCACGCACCCCGTTAGAAGTACAGGCGGCCCATGAGCTGCAGGAAGCCCTTCCTGCGCTTCTGCGCGGCGAGCTGCAGCACCTCCTCGGGGTTGCTCGAGTTCAGCTCCGTCTGGCCCATCGCCTTGACCTGCCGCAGGGGTCACGGGGTCACGGGGTCACGTGAGACGAAGGAGGAGAAGCATCGTCGTCATCACTAGGAGCGTGGTGAGTTGACGATATCAATCTTTGGTTCTTTCGGTAAAGTCACGTATAAAGATAAAATAGTAAATTAGATAATGCTATTATTTAATTTATTACTTTATCTTTATACGTGACTTTACCGAAAGAACCAAAGAGTAATTCCTGCAGTCACGAAAGCCTCAAATTAAGATTTGACGATATCAGCCCGGCCACAAGTAACTCGCGCAGATAACCCACAGAGTCGCACAGAGACCCGCCGACCGGCATAGAAACGCACGGATCCACATAGAGACCCGTGGACTCGCATAGAGACCCATAGATTTACATGCAGACCCACAGACTCGGAGAGCCACAGATTCACACAGAGAGCCACAGGCTCGCATATAAACTCACTGACTCACATAGAGACCCAGTGACTCACATAGAGACCCAATGACTCACATAGAGACTAACATATGAAGACCCATAGACTCACATAGAGACCCACTGACTCACATAGAGACCCAGTGACTCACATTAGAGACCCACTGACTCACGTAGAGACTAACACATGAAGACCCACAGGCTCACAAAGAGACCCACTGACTCACATAGAGACCCACAGACTCCCACTGACTCACATAGAGACCTACTGACTCACATAGAGACCCACTGATTCACAAAGAGACCCAGTGACTCACATTAGAGACCCACTGACAAACATAGAGACCCAAAAGGCTCGCAGAGATCCATGGAGCGTTGTTTACGTGACAAACCTTACTGGCTGTGTCGGGTGGCGGAGGGTTACGACACATTTATACTCATGCGATCTAACCCCAAAAACCTTTATTATGAATAGAGAAGCGGTGAGGCTTTAAGAGAGGAACGGATGGAGGCGAAGGAGGGGACTGCTTACTGCACAAGCGAAACCTGTACTTACTAGCGATCCAGAGACTCATGCAGAATGAGTTGCGATCTGAAACTGTGTTGCCAAGCGTCGTAAGTTGATGGTTTCAGCCCGGTAACAAGTGACTTGCACGGAGAATCATGGACTTATACTCTTTGGTTCTTTCGGTAAAGTCACGTAGGTATAAAATTAAAAATAAAATTAAAAATACAATTTTATTTTATTTTATACCTACGTGACTTTACCGGAAGAACCAAAGAGTATGGATTCCTGCAGTCACGAAAGCTTCAAATCAATCATAGACTTACACAGAGACCCGGAGACTCGCATAGGAGTGGTGATTAAACTGGGTTCTCAAGTGGAGTAAGTTGATGGTTTCAGCCCGATCACAAATGACTGTTCAAAATAACCATGAGAATATTTGGCTGCTCTAAATGTCCACGTGACAAGCCACTCCGTCGAGCTATCATTTGTGGCCAGGTCACTTTGCAAAAAGATCTCTATGGCTCAGTGGGTAACTGGTAAAACAAATATAGTTTTATAGTTCATTTAAAGCTTCGTTAAAAGCTTGGCTGTCATGTGACGAATATTTCTCTCTGGGTTGGAATTCGCACAAACTACACAAAGACAAAGATCCCCCGTATAGCTTTAACAGGACTGTTGGGGCAAGAGCCGTGGGAAAGCACCTACGAAGACCGGCACTACGCGATGTTTGCACATCGCAGGCCCAGGACCGGTTCAGATAATCGTCGCCGGTGTTGGCCGTGAGCGGGAATCGAACTCGGCTCACCTGGGTTCGTAGCGCAGCGCGCCGTCCGTTAGACTACCGCTCCCCACACAATCACGCACAAGCTCACAAAGACAAAGATCCCCCCCGTATAGCCTGAACACACTGTTGGGGCAAGTTTAACAGCAGCCCCTATATGAAGGCCGGCACGGCACACGATGGGAAATGTGGCCAACCCCACGCCCGGCCGCCTTTGTCTCCCCGCTGCTGACAAATCAACACAGCCCCCACAGTCGTCCTACACACCACACGCACGCACGGACGCACGCACGTGGGAGGTCGGGGGACACGTATCGGTGGTGGTGGTGGTGGTGGTGGCGTGTGGCGAAGACTTACCGCCAGCTGTTTCTTGTCGGCCTCTCCCCGTTTGTGGTGCAGGTCTGTGCGGGCGGCGGGCAGAGGCGGTGCAGGTCAAGGGGTCAACGCGAAGAGAAAGGGGCTCACGCGTTAAGCCGTCGCCGCCGCCGCCGGCGGTACCCCCCCCCCCCCGCCCCCCCCCCCCCCCCAGCCCTTCCCCAGACAAACTCCTTCAAATGCCACTCGCTCACTCGCCACACACATAGCGGACGCGTACGTGCGCACGCACGCACAAATCACGCACGCGTGTATATACACGCCGAGCGCACATCACAAGACGCGCGGCAGAGATGCATCACGAAACACGTTGCGTGCAGACATCGCAGACGGCGACACGCACACACCCGCACACAGGCATCGCTCGCCGCAGACAGCACACATGCGCACACACACACACACACACGTGTGCACACTCGACAATACACTCCACACCGCACGCGGCACACACGCATGTACCACACGTACACCACACGCACTCAGCAGACTACGAAGACGTAGATCCCCCGTTATAGCCTTAACAGACTGTTGGGGCAAGTGCTGTTAGCAAGCACCTATGAACGGCACACTACACACCACACACACATATACCACACAGTACACACGCATACACCACCCACGTACACTACACACGTAGCAAGAACATTACACGCAACACACCCCACGCAAACTTGCTCACTGACGGCGAACCATTGCACGTGGTCTCCACACGCTGCTTACACATGACACGCGTACACCGTATAACAACGACAAAGATCCCCCGTATAGCCTTTAACTGACTGTTGGGGCAAGTGCTGTTTGCGAGCACCTATGAAGGCCGGAAAGGTGCACCAGGGGGTGGGTGGCCAGCACCACGCCCGCCCGCCTTTGTCTCCCTACTGGCAATGTTTTTACACACAGTACCAGGTACTCATTTAAGGCTGAGTCGACCTAGGGGAGGCCCAGTAGAGGTTCAGATAATCGTCGCCGGTGTTGGCCGTGAGCGGGAATCGAACTCGGGCCGTCGGGTTCATAGCGCAGTGCTAACTGCTACACCACCGCTCCCCACACACACATTACACACAATTACACACGCATATACATGACACACGACACATACATTACACACTACACACGCACACATTACACACGCACACACATAAAGCTACGCACACGCACATTACACACCACATACACACATAGGCACACACACGCACGCGCATTGCACACCACACACACGACACACGCACGCACATTACACACCACGCACGCACATTACACACCGCACACGCACGCACTCTCTCACAGTGAACCCTTTAACTCAGGCCGCGACCCGCGCTCGTGGCGGGGGTGGCGGGGGCGGTAAAACAACACGAGCAGGTGGCAGGTGTCGGGCGGAGGGCGGCTCGGTTTGTTTAAAGAGGTTCCCCCCGTCAGCGATAACGTGCGAGGTGATGGGCGCCGCGTGCGCGAGCGAGCGAGCGAGTGAGCGTGTGTGGCCATCGGCAAACGCATATAAAGCTGCATTCTTATCAGAGCTGCCAACCGGCTCCCCCTCCCCACCCCCCAAACCATCGCTTGCACAGTGCAGCAGAGGTCGCAAACGGGTTTTGATTCCTTACCCGTACCCGTACCAGGCCGCACCAGGGTCGCAAATGGGTACCTGTACCTGGCCGGGTACGGGTACCCGTTCCCTACCCGTACCCTACCCGAAATGAGTGACAAATGGTTACTCACCAGTGACTCACGGCCTACCCGTACCCGGCCGCACCAGGGTCGCAAACGGCTACCCGTACCCATACCCGGCTGGGTACGGGTAGCCGGGTATCGGGTAGGGTACGGGTATCGGGTACCCGGTTGCGACCTCTGCAGTGCAGTCTCCGGCTCCTATTGCTGCTCACTTGCAGCTCTCCGGCCTCTCCACTTAGGAGCCGTGGAGAAGGGGCCACCGACTGAAACGGCTGCCTGTTGCGCACTTTTGTCGGTGCCTCTTAAGGCCGCCGCTTTGCCGACGTGCCGAGCGTCTTGGCGCAGTGTGGCGCGACGCCTGAAGCATGTCGTGCGGTGTCTGCGTGGTGCGTGCGCGCGTGGGTGCAGTGCGCGCGTGGGTGCAGTGCGCGTGTGGTGCGTGTGGTGCGTGGTGTGCGTGTGGTGCGTGGTGTGCGTACGCCTGACGCATGCGAGTTGGTGGGCGTCTGTTCGTCTACGGCTGTGTGTGTGCGCATCTACGCGGGGAGCGGTGGCGCAGCGGTTAGCGCTAAGAACCCGGCGACCCGAGTTTCATTCCCGCTCACGGCCAATAGCGGTGACGATTATCTGAACCGGTCATGAGCTTCCCCGAATGAGTACCTGGCACGGTGCGGAAACATCGCCACTCGGGAGACAAAGGCGGCCGGGCGTGGCGTTGGCCACCCGCCCCATCGTGTGCCGTGCCGGCCTTCATAGGCGCTGCTCGCTAACAGCACTTGCCCCTACAGTCTGTTAAGGTTATACGGGCGACCTTTGCCTTTGTACATCTACGTAGGCTACACAGGGGGAGGTGGGTGGCAACTGCTGAACGATTGCGTGCGCGCGTCTGTACGTGCGTGCAAGATTCCGAACCCCGTGCCATTGGCCAACCTCTCTCCTCCCAACCCCCCCACACCACACCAGACCTCCACCCCGCACTCCCAGCCTGCCCCCCCAGCCCCAACACGGCCGAGAAGGGAGAATGGAATGTCAGCAGCAGCAGCAGCAGCCTGGGCGAATGGTGAAACAACGAGTCACAGGGGAGGCCGGCGATAATGAGTCGGTGTGCGCGGTATGAGCCAAATTAGTTTAATTATTTTTGGGGCGGGTCAAAGGCCAGTTGGGTTCATTAGCGCGGCTCCTGCTTAATGGGCGATGCGAAATCCCCCAAAACCTGCACGCACGTACACACGCGCACGTACACACACGCGGCTCCTTCTCTTAGAGACACGCAAACACCTGGGGATGTGCATGCCGTTGGGGCCAGCAAATGGTATAAAAAAAAACCATGAATAGAGTTTTTGTTGGGTTAGATCGCGTAAATATAAATGTGACACTAAACCCGCCACCACCCCAAACAGCCAATTAGTAAGGTTTGTCACGTAAACAAAACTTGCCAATTAGTTACTAGTTCACCACACCGGTGTGTTGGAGAGTAAACCCACAACATTTACAATTTGAGCACGACGTTTCGCCTGTAATTACAACTACCCTCATCAGGCAACAGCCAGAATAATGAAGAATTCCTCCAGTTTCCTATAAATTGATATCCATGGTTCTTTGGCTGCAGTGCCGACTCTCACAAAGCACCGCGGGTTTCACTGTCGTATGTTCGCCGTCGTACGACCTCCAGAGGTCGCAAACGGGTTTTGATTCCTTACCCGTACCCGTACCCGGCCGCACCAGGGTCGCAAATGGTTACCCGTACCCGTACCCGGCCGGGTACGGGTAGCCGGGTATCGGGTAGGGTACGGGTATCGGTTACCCAATTGCGACCTCTGACGACCTCTGCCCGGTAACCTTCTCGAAAATATCGACGTCACGGAGTGTGGTGTACTGCGGGAGCCGACACGACAGCCAAAGAGCCATGAGAATTTCCCCTGTGGGAGCGGGTACTTGCAGGCTATGTCAAGACACGCGGTGCATTGTGGGAGCCAGCACTACAGCTACATATAACAATGAGTGATGCATTGTGGGTGCGGGTACTTGCAGCTATGTCAAGACACGCGGTGCATTGTGGGAGCCAGCACTACAGCTACATATAACCATGAGTGATGCATTGTGGGAGCGGGTACTTGCAGGCTATGTCAAGACACGCGGTGCATTGTGGGAGCCAGCACTACAGCTACATATAACCATGAGTGATGCATTGTGGGAGCGGGTACTTGCAGGCTATGTCAAGACACGCGGTGCATTGTGGGAACCAGCACTACAGCTACATATAACCATGAGTGATGCATTGTGGGAGCGGTTACTTGCAGCTTTGTTAAGCAAACCTGGTGCATTGTGGGAGCCGGAACTCCAGCTACATGTAACCATGAGTGGTGCATTGTGGGAGCCAGTACTATAGGGTTAGTGTTTTTTTTAGTGCAATCATCGGTGACGGGGCTAAGAGTACACGGACTGGAACCCCGAATTCCTTAGCGGTGCCGTCTGAGCGTCTCTGACCCCCTTCCGAGCCCCTCCGAGCCGGCTCAGTGACGAGAGGATACGGATGAGGTACTCCAGAATGGTGACGTCCCAGATGTAGTCGTAGTACATGTCCATGGAGTCGGAACTGCGCGAGAACACGGGGGGATGGAGGGGAGCAGAGACGAACAACAACACATCAGGGGGGGTGGTCACGAGGTCTATTACTACAACTCAACTATTTTATATTTTACCAGGCAAGGCCGCACTGAGCTACGTAGCTCTTTCTTAGAAGCGACCTGGCGACCACAATCGATAGCTCGATCGAAGTGGCTTTTCATCACGTGGACATTTATAGCAGCCAAAGAGCTCTTAAATGCGTGACTTTGATTCTAAACGTGGAGGGGAAAAACCGGAGGACCCGGAGAAAAATCCTCGCGACCACGGGGAGAGAGACACCGCAAACTCCAAATATACAGCAGCAGGCGGCAGGGTTGGGATTGAACACACGAACTCCTGTATACCAGGCGAGGTAGTTAACATCTCGCTAAAGTGATGCCCTTAAATACATACAAGGCCACGGCTCTCTTCCACGGAGCGCCAGGTTGCTCAGTGTGCCTTACCTGGTAATAGAAAAATAATTTAGTTGTAATTTAGCACGTATGTTGAGCTTCTTTCGCACCGCACGTAACCGACCCTGCTAATCGGAGGTGCAGGGAGAAGGACAACAGGAGATCTAAATGAGTTTAACACGTGGGAGGCTTTCGCGACCAATATTATTCATAATCAACGTTTTTGGGTTAAATCGCGTTATTTATAAATGTGTCATAACCCTCCACCACCCGACACGGCCAATCAGCAAAAACACATTCCAACTGATTACTAATCTACAACTAACATCGTAACAATTGCCTGATTACTAATCTAGTATATAATTACAATAATCCCCCCCCCCCTCCACCTCAAATCGTTGCACCTGATGAGTTAATGATGACGTCACCCTGCTGCTGCTGCTCTATTTAAGACCGGGAGCAAGAGCAGAGCCTCACCATTCTGGCGAATTGCCCGATGATGCTGGATGCAATTACCAGCGAAACGTCGTACTCAAATTTTTTTTAATGTTGTGGTTTCACGCTTCAACACACCGGTGGGCTAAAGCAGCGAACTATTTTGTCTTTTGATTATGAGATCTAAATGAGTTTTCAATCTAGATTAAACAGCGCATAGCTCCAGTGGCTTCCTAATGTCGGAAGCAAGAGCGTTCCAGACGGCCGCAAGGATGGCATCTGAAAGCGCCGCGCGATCATGCGGTGACCGCCGCCTTCGCCCGACGGCGAGGATGACCGGAGTTCAAGCGATGGTTCACGACTCCTGGAGGAGATGAGCGAGCTTGACCGTGGTTCATTTACGGCAAGCACTTTGTGCGTGGCGAGCGCGACCTTGTCGTGTATCGCGCGGCCATCCCACCTGTTCTGTTCCTGCAGAGCTTTGAAGGCCGTTGGGTAATCCAGCTCCTTGATGAACTGGCACAGCACGGCCGCCTGCAAAACAACAATCGGAAACCTCCGCCAACGTGGCTATCGTAACAATCGTCATCGTGGAGGGGCAGGGCAGAGGTCGCAACCGGGTACCCGATACCCGTACCCTACCCGATACCTGGCTACCCGTACCCGGCCGGTTACGGGTACGGGTAGGCCGTGAGTCACTGGTGAGTAACCGTTTGTCACTCATTTCAGGTAGGATACGGGTACGGGTAGGGAACGGGTATCCGTACCCGGTTGGGTAAGGGTACGGGTACCCATTTGCGACCCTGGTGCGGCCCGGTACGGGTACGGGTAAGGAATCAAAACCCGTTTGTGATCTCTGGGGCAGGGTGGTGCAAGGCGGCTCTCTTCAAGACGTGTGTACCACGTAGGACTTCTTTCGCAACGTACGTAGCCAACCGTGCTCATCGGAGGCGAGGGGAAGGACAACGTAAAAGCAGTAAAAGACGTTTAGGAGTTCTAGATTTGAAGCTTTCGTGACTGCAAGGATTCACACTGTTAGGTTTTTTCGGTAAAGTCACGTAGGTAAAAAAGAAATAAATAATAATAGAAATAAATAAATAACCATTATTTTATTTTTTATTATTATAATAATTATATAAAAAATATTTTTAATATTATAATAAATCCTTATTTTATTCCCATTATTATTTCTATTATTTAAATTTTTTACCTACGTGACTTTACTGAAAAAACCTAAGAGTATGACGTTTAGGAGCTTGATGTCAATGTGCTTCTGCTTCAGCAGAGATTTCGTGTCGTGTCGCTGTTCCTCCTCCTCCGTTGAAGGAGCCGCGCACACCGCAGTCGGTTTACCGTGCGGGTCCAAAGCTGTGGGTTGCATGGCCACACAACTGCACGCTTGTGGCCCGTCTATCAATCGTGTGTCCCTATGGGTCACTGTACCTGCGTGTGGCAGTTGAGCAGCGAGCAGCACTTGATCAGTCGCTTGAGTACCTGGTGGAAAAGTCGACCGCAATTTCCACTTTGATAATAACAACAACAACGATGACAAATTCGATTTAAAGCTTTCGTGACTGCAGGGATTCATCTTCTTAGTTCTTTCGGTAAAGTCACGTAGAATGGAAATAATAAAATAATAAAAATAAAACGTAATCAAATAATTCTCACGACGTTTCGGCCACAACGCAAGCAGCCGTCCTCAGGTGGAGAACAGGTCTGTCAGAAAGACAGCGTCTGAATGAACTGTCTTTCCGACAGACCTGTTCTTCACCTGAGGACGGCTGCTTGCGTTGTGGCCGAAACGTCGTGAGAATTATTTGATTACGTTTTATTTTTATTATTTTATTATTTCCATTCTACGTGACTTTACCGAAAGAACCAAGAAGATAATAACAACGATGACAATGCGACCAATTCATTATTTTCAAGTCGCATCGTTCGTGACAAATCTTCATTTAGAATCCTCAAGAGTTGAACTGCAGCCAATTTAAGATAAAGAACCAACGTAATTGTGTTTTCCATTACCGGTGAATCCGGTTTTACTCACAATTCATCCGACTGGAGTCTGTGGATCATTATGCGAGTCTGTGAGTGTCCGTGCGAGTGTGTGAGCCTCTAAGCACGACTGTGGGTCTTCATCCGAGTAAGGGGTCTGCATGAAAGTCTATGGATCCCTATGCTGGTCTGTGGATCTCTATTTGAGTCTGTGGGTCTCTATGCGAGTCTGTGGGTCTCTATGCGAGTCTGTGGGTCTCTATGCGAGTCTGTGGGTCTCTATGCAAATATGGGTCTCTATGTGAGTCTGTGGGTCTCTATGCAAGTATGGGTCTCTATGTGAGTCTGTGTCTCTATTTGAGTCTGTGTGTCTCTATGTGAGTCTGTGTGTCTCTATGCGAGTCTGTGGGTCTCTATGCAAGTATGTGTCTCTATGTATCTGAGTCTGTGGGTCTCCACGCGAGTATGGGTCTCCATGCAAGTCTATGGATCTCTATGCTAGTCGGTGGGTCTCTACGCGAGTGTAGGTCTTCCCGCAAGTCTATGAATCACTCTGCTAGTCTGTGGATCTCTATGCGACTCGGTAGGTCTCTATGTAAGTCGGTGGGTCTCTATACAAGTCGGTGGGTCTCTATGGGAGTATGGGTCTCCATGCAAGTCTATGGATCTGTATGCTATTCTGTGGGTCTCTATGCTAGTCGGTGGGTCTCTATGGGAGCATAGGTCTCCATGCAAGTCTATGGATCTCTCTGCTAGTCTGTGGGTCTCTACGCGAGTCTGTGGGTGTCTATGTGAGTATGGGTCTCCATGCAAGTCTATGGATCTCTCTGCTAGTCTGTGGGTCTCTATGCGAGTATAGGTCTCCATGCAAGTCTATAGATCTGTATTGTAGTCTGTGGCTCTCTACGCGAGTCTGTGGGTCTCCATGGCCGCTGCTTGCGCTGACACGGGGAAGGACCCAGCGGCGCGTGTGAGCGGCGCCCCACCTGCTCCGTGTACACGTCCTGCGGCACGGCCTTGTGGAAGAAGTCGGAGGCCACGGCGCCAGCACGGAGGTAGTGCTGCCGGGCGGCGCTGTACTGGTTGGTGGCTGTGCCGGCGTGGCGGCGTGGCGGTTGTGTTGGCGGTGGCAGCGGTAGTGGTGGCGGTGGTGGTGGTTACGATGTTGGTGGTGGTTGTAGTGGTGGTGGAGGTAATTATGGTGGTGGCAGTGGTGGTGGTGATGATGGTGGTGGTGGTGGTTGCGGTGGTAGTGGTGTTGATGATAGTGATGGCAGAGGTGGTGATGATGGCAGTGAGAGTCGTGGTGATGGTGACAGTGGTAGCATTTTTGATTATGTAGTGGTGATATGGTGGTGGTGGTGGTAATGTTAGATGATGATGGCAGAGGTGGTGACGATGGTAGTGATGGTGGCGGTGGTAGCATTGTTGATGATGACAGTGGTGATGATAGTGATGATTGCGTTGGTGATGACGGTGATGGTGGCGATTATGATATAGGTGAAGGTGATGGTGTCGATGATGATGGTGGTGGTAGCGTTGTTGATAATGATAGTGGTAATGAGAGTGGTGGTTGCGTTGGTGATGACGGTGATGGTGGCGATTATGATATTGGTGAAGGTGATGGTGTCGATGATGATGGTGGTGGTAGCGTTAATAATGATAGTGGTAATGAGAGTGGTGGTTGCGTTGATGACGACGACGATGACGGTGGCGATGCAGGTGATGGTCGTGGAAAGGTGGGTGGCAGGGGACAAACATGAGCCGGCACGTACACACAATTATCGTGCTGAAAACGACGCAGGGCACGACCCCACCTCATCTTGCCTCTCTCTTCTCAAGTCCCCTCCTCTGGTCCTCTTCATTCCCAATCTTCTCCGTCTCTCTCTGTCGTCCTCTTTCTCCCTGTGCCCAGTTCCATTTTCTGGTCCTTTCCTCTCCCCCCCCCCGTTGCACTTCTCCACCGGAATCAACTTCCCCCTGTGCTCTTAGGTTTTTCGGTGAAGTCACGTAGGTAAAAGAATAAATAAAAAATTACTAAAAGTAATATTAGAAATAAAATAATTGATTTATTATTTTATTTTATTTCTATTATTACCTTTAGTAATCTTCTTGGTTCTTTCGGTAAAGTCACGTAGAATGGAAATAATAAAATAATAAAATAAACATAATAAAATAATTCTCACGACGTTTCGGCCACAACGTAAGCAGCCGTCCTCAGGTGAAACGTCGTGATAATTATTTTATTATGTTTTATTTTTATTATTTTATTATTTCCATTCTACGTGACTTTACAGAAAGAACCAAGAAGATGAATCCCTGCAGTCACGAAAGCTTTAACTCGAAATTTACCTTTAGTAATTAATTTTTAAATTTTTTTACCTACGTGACTTTACCGAAAAAACCTAAGAGTATGAATTCTTGCAGTCACGAAAGCTTCAAATCTAGAATTCCCCCTGTGCATCAAGCGTCCGCCCCTCCTCAACCTCCTTCCGTTGCTCTCTTAAAACGCCTCACACTCTTTTTCCCCATCGCCCATTCTCTTCCCTCCCCTCGCCTCTCCACTCCTTGCCGTCCCTCGCCAAGCGTTTATCGCGATCCCCAAGTACCCTTCCATCGCGGTCACTCATTCCTCAACCCTCGCACGGCCCAACTATCCAATTCGTTTCTGCTCCGTCACCGAGCTTTTGAAAACCTCTTTTTTATTTTACCGAGGTAAGGCACCACCGACCTGTATGGCTCGCTTTCAGAAGCAACCTGCCCACAAAGGATAGCCCAACGAAGTGGCTTTTCACGCGGAAATGTATCGCAGCCAAATACTCTAAACGCGCGATGTTGATTCTAAATGTGGAGGGAAAAAACGGAGGACCCGGAGAAAAATCCTCGCGACCATGGGGAGAAAGACCCACAAACTCCAAATATACAGCAGGTGTCAGGGTCTGGATAAAACCCACGACCTCCTGCATATCAGGCGAGGTAGTTAACATCTCCTAGCCACCGTGATGATGATGAGAGAGACACGCAAACTCCAAATACACAGCAGGCATAATCAGGGTCAAGATCGAACCCACGACCTCCTGGATACCAGGCGAGGTAGTTAACATCTCGCCACCGCAGCGCCCCATCAAGCGCCTAGAGTGAAGGCACTCTGTACGAATAACACATTCCTGCGGAGGGAGCTGGTAGGAACGTTGGGGTGCTCGGTCAATGGCCAGGGTCAACGGCGGCGTGGTGTATTCCGCAAATATGGCCGACTGTGAGGGCGGGCACAAGCCGGCGTGAGTAGGTTAAACGTTGAGTTATATAAGGGCACCACGGGGTGACCAGCCCCTCCCCACCCAGCCCCACCCCTCCCACCCAGCCCCACCCTCCCCACCAGCCCCTCCCACCTTCCCGTCCCCACCCAGCCCCTCCCCACCCTCCCCTCTCCACCCAGCCCCACCCCTCCCACCCAGCCCCACCCTCCCCACCCAGCCCCTCCCCACCCTCCCCACCCAGCCCCTCTCCACCCAGCCCCACCCCTCCCATTTTTGAATGCACGACAGACGGACGAACACAATAATCCACTGTGGGCTGGTGTAACCAGGAGGTTCCTACCAAGTATAAACTTAGGATTAGATCACGTAAGTATAAACTTCTATGAGACTAGAGTGCACGTGTCGGAGGAGTTCTAACTGCGCGGCGCCGGCGACGATGGTGTTACCGAAGTAGAAGTCGGCTTGGGTGAGCAGCCAGGAAGGGTACGTGGGGTTCACCGCCAGGGCGTGCGCCAGCAGCTCCTTAATCGCCACGGCAACCGCGTCCGAGTCCACCGACTGCAGGCTGCCAACGGCACGGACAACGGCCCCGTGTCATTCCGCTAAGCGGCGGGATACTAAAAAAATAAAATGTCCCGCTGACGTACGCCGGGACGCTAATTTTTTTTTTGTCGCGCGCAAATTACGACGCGCTTTCATTCAGGGTCAGCGCAGCAGAATCGGATTTACTGTACTGCACCGCTACGCTCCAACATCTGTGTCCTCCTGCCTTGATATGCGTTGTATACGGAGGGAAAGCGGTGGGGCAGGCGGTTAGCGCACTGCACTGCGAACCCGGCGGCCCCGAGTTTGGTTCCCGGCCACTGGCGAACGTCAGCGACGGGCGATTTCTAAACCAGTCCTGGGCTGCCCCTCCCCCCCACCTCCCCCCACACCCCATTGCACCCCTCCACTGGAATCAACTTCCTCCGTACATCACGAAGGCGATCCCCCCCCTCCTACACCTCCTTCCGTTCCTCTCTTAAAGCCTCAGCTCTTCCCCATCGCCCGTTCCCTGCCTCTTCCCTCCCCTCACCCGACCACTCCGTCCCGTCACCCCCCTCTGCCCCTTTCGTGACCCCCCCCCCCCCCCCACGTGCTCTCTGTCACAGGTCACTCGTTTCTCCGCTCGTGCACTGCCCTTGGTCGTCTTCAACCACCCCCGTTTTTTGTGACCGCTTTTTAAACTCCGCTGGAGAGCGCCTTGAGCCGAGGCGCTCGATCAATATATGAGCTCCGGAGTGCCCCCCCTGTAGGGGGAATTTGGCCTACTCTTCCACGCTGGCGGGGGGGGTGGATCCGGACGAGGCTAAACCCCCCCCACCCCCTCCGCTTCGCCACGAGGGACCCGACTCACTTCGGCAACGATGACGGCCACAGGGAGATAAACTCGGCGCTGACGTCGTTCACAATTTCGTCCTGCGAAGGGGAAGGCAACGCACGCACCGTCGCGTTAGCGAGCGCTCGCCGTCTCAAGCCGTCTCTTGCCGCCCCCCCCACCTCACCCCACCGCCGCCGCGAGACTTCGCCGGACGCTCCGGCGCCCCCCGGCCCTGCCGAGCCGTCACGACGCTGAGTTCCTGGGGTTCCAATGCCGGGTTTCAGCCGCGCAAATACGGAGGAGGCATCGCACGGCGATTACGCTCCGGCAACTCCCGACGCGGGGTTATCTGGGGCTTCATACTCTTAGTTTTTTTCGGTAAAGTCACATAGGTAAAAAATGAAATTAAAATTAATAAAATAAAATAATAAAAAATCACGACGTTTCGGATGACGGAGACTTGTGTTGCCTCCGAAACGTCGTGATTTATTATTATTTTATTTTATTAATTTAAATTTCATTTTTTAATCTAACGTGACTTTACCGAAAAAACTAAGAGTATGAATCCTTGCAGTCACGAAAGCTTCAAATCTAGAACTATCTGGGCTTCACCGTACGAAAGAAGAAAGGTGAAGAATTCGAAGCCGCACAGCCGCAATTAAACCGGGTCGTCAAAGTGCAGCCATTTGATGGTCTCAGCCCGGGCCCCGGTGACTTGTCACGGAGACCAATTGACTTACGCAAAGACCCGTGGACTCGCATAGAGACCCATAGGCTCACAGGAAGTGCTTGCCACAAATAAACCCCCAATACCTTGCCGATCATAAACCATCGCGTGAACTCCAGTCATCCTTGCAGCGGTTTTTGGCCAGCCGTCAAACAAAGACGGTCACTGCATCGGGCGCTTTTGGATGTGCGCTTCTGCGGCCGTCTGGAACGCTCTTCCTTCCGATATGAGGAAGCCACTGGAGCACTTTTAAAACTCGATTGCAAAGTTAATTTCTTTAAAACAGTTTTTTGTGTTCAGTTTGTTGTTCTTTCCCCACACACCGATTAGCACGGTTGTCTACGTATGGTGCAAAAGAAGTTCAACATACACACAAACCGTACATAGATACATAGGACCCACAGGTAAAAAAACAAGGTACGGGTGGGAAAACTCTTGCCTGTAAGATCGGGAAGCTATCGAAATAGAAACCAGCAACGGAATAAACGGGCCAAAGCGCACACTCACCCGGACCACGTTGTGAAGTTTGACAAGCAGGGAGATGAGAGTGGTGAGCACCAGAGTCTCCTAAAGACAGCGAGAGAGAGAGACGTGCAGGGGGTGGTTACAGAGGTACAGGCGCAGCCCTGCAATTGCCCGCTCACCCCACCGCTGCCGTGTCTTCAGTTGACCCCCGCCCCCCCCATGCCTCGCCCAGCTGTCTCCGGCGGTTGGTGTCCGGGGGAATCTCAAGACGAGTTTGTGGAGGGTTTCGACGGCTTGTCGATAAACAAACGCGACCAACGTTCCCGACGGCCTCACCGCTCCGCTCCTCCTCTCCGGAAGCAGCCGCGGGTTGGTGGCACACACGTGCACTGTGAACCGATCGTGTCGCCGCGTGCAACTTGCCGGTGGGCCACGGGGTCATCCCCGCGCGCTCGGCCCCGTTTTACCCGACTCCCGGGGACGGTGCCGCAGGGGGGGGGTTGGCTCGCTCGCGACGGAGAGGATGGCGAGGAGAGGCTCTCGAAAGCAACGGCGAAAAACCCACGCGGCGGATTGCCGGGCCGAGAAGCGGCGCTCACCTTCAGCTTCTTCATGAAGGCGATGAATTCCTTCCTGCAAAGGAGGCAAGAGAGGGCCAAGTTAAAAGGCGCATCTCGTCGTCGTCGTCATCGCAAGTCGTCGTCGTCAGAATAAGATCCGGCCGAGTGGCTCAGCTGTAGAGCGAGCGGCTCGCGAATGGAAGGTTGCGAGTTCAATTCCTGGTTGGGGAGTGCCGCCTCGGCCCCCGACGTCGTCATCATCGTCATCATTATCACGCCAGGGTCGGTAATGTGGATAACACATTGTCGGGAAGTCAAAACAGTGGTTGTCCTGTGGAGAGACTCGCCCCCAACAAAGGAATGTGGAATTTCCAGCACTGGCACGGCGGGGATATCAATAAAAGGGAGATGGGGCACCGCCTCGACGCTCAATTGAGCAGGAAATGTACGACTTAATCGAGTTGTTAGCAAACTAGCCCGTGGAAGTGGATATCACAGAGTTACCCTCTGAGGTCCATTCTTCAAGTGGTCCACACACAATAGAGGGCAGCACTTTTCCACCCGCTCTGCGATACGAGAGTGCGCTTAGTTGCTTGGCAGCCAAACCAATGATTTGATGTTGCCCAATTAAGTGCAGAACCGAATATTAACGTGGTGCATTTGTTGGGCAGTTGCTGGTGACCGGGCTAAGACCATCAACCCGCTCTATCTGAGAACGCGGTTTTAATCGGACCTTGTTCTTCGTGAGATTATGGGTCTCTATGTAAGTCTATGAGTGTCTGTGTGAGTCTACAGGTCTCTATGTGAGTCTACAGGTCTCTATGCGAGTCTGTGAGTTTCTATGCGAGTCTAAGGATCTCTATGTGAGTCTACGGGTCTCTATGTGAGTCTAAGGGTCTCTATGTGAGGTAGGGGAGGGTCAACCCCTCCAGCAATGAAAAATGATAGAGTTGTTGTTAGTAAGTAAGGAGTTGTTAGTAAGTGAGGACTTGTCCCTTGCTTTTTATTTGACGCGTGTGCGGCGATGGCGCAGCCATCGATCGAGGGTCGAATTCGAACCGCGTTGTGTGATCGCCATCGCGCTCGCTGAAGGTGTTGATGCCTTCAGGGAAGTCGTGGACTGTATACGCAACTGCGCACAATTATGAGTCACTTATAACCGCTTTGCCGTTACTTATTGCCAATTATGGACTCAGACTATTGTCCTATCATCTCATAGAGACCCTGGCACGTAATAATATGCTACACAGTGGCAGTGGGGGTCGCAAAATGCCGATTTATTACTAATAAACCCCAATGATCCGATCGAAATTAGGGATTTCGATCGGATCATTGGGGGAGGCACGTGCCACCCCATCCCCCCCACTGTCTCCGCCAGTGAGTCTAAGGGTCTCTATGCGAGTCTACAGGTCTCCATGTGTTAGTCTCTATGCGAGTCACTGGGTCTCCATGTGAGTCTATGGGTCTCTATGCGAGTCTATGGGTCTCTATGCGAGTCTACGGGTCTCTACGCAAGTTTACCAGGGGTCTCTGTGCAAGCCGATGAGTCTCTATGCGAGTCTACGGAGCGTCTGTGCGAGGCTACGGGGGGGGGGGGGGGGGGGCCTCTATGCGAGTCACCGGTGACCGGGCTGCGACCATCAGCTCGCGCGAGAGGGGGGGGGGGGGCCCCGTACCAATCACGGTGGCCGTGACGACGGCGGCAGCAGCAGCAGCCGAACCCGGGGTGTGAACCCGGGGGGCTTTCGGCGGCGGCGGCGGCTCAGCCGTCTCCGACCCCCGGGCCACCCCGCGACCACCCCCGTTGTGTTTATTTTCCAAACCGCCGCCGACGCCGCCGCATCAAAGACCGAGCGGAGCGAGCGGCGCACTTGCACGGGAGGGGCGGTGACTCACCCGTGCGTGCGCGCTGAGCGGGGCGGGGGGGGCGGATGAGAGAGTTGAGTTTGAGAGAGAGAGAGAAGGGATGAAGGAGTTGCCTTCTCATGCACGCCCGAATCTGTCCCTCCTCACTCCCTCGACCGTCCCTGAATCAATCGGAGGTGGTTCGCTCCTTCTCTGCTGCTGCTCCCCTGGTCGGAAACGCGCTCAACTCTCCTCCCAGCCCCTGCACACGAGTGATAATTCCGTCGCTTCATCTCCTCCGCTGTGTGGCACGTCCTCCTCGACGCGTTCCACTCCTTTGGCGGCTTTGCCGTTCCGTCATTATTCTCGACCGTCGTCCATCTCCGTGCCTTCCGGCCGCGGCGCGTCCGGCACAATCCCCCGCTCACATTCCGTCAACGCTTTGTCTGACGAGGACGACGACGACGACGATGTCATTAACCCGCGTGTGTTCCCGTGTTCCCTAACCCACGTGCCTCTGTCTCTCGCTCTCAAAGTGGAATTCCAAGCGTGCGCGCCGCCCTACGCGTGCGGTGTTTTGCGCGCTCTTTCTCCTTTTCGTTCGGCACCCCTCGCCAACGACCGCGCGGGGTTTCCGAAGCCAAACGTCGCAACGGGTCCAAAAAAAGTCGAGCCGGCAATCAGAACGTCGACCAATAAAACAACGCCAACTCAACTCGGCCGCCTACGCTCGTGTCGTTGATGTTGGGGGGGTGGGTCGGTGGGTGGGAGGCGGGGGGGTGGGGGTATGGGGGGGGGCCCCACACGCACAGCGATCTCACCGGAACATCAGGGGGGTCCCCTTGCCTTCGAGAGGCTGCTTGCGAGCCTGAGCGGGCCCCGACGAGAAGACGTACACCACCGTTTCCCACAGCTCCTTGGCGGCGCGCCGGCTCTCCTTGGGCCCCGGGACGTCACGGCACGTGCCGGCCAGCAGCTGGCCCAGCTGCACGGGTCAGCGGGGGACGCGGGCGAAGGGCGAGAGGAGAGGCAGGTGAGAGGGCGGTTAGTGCTAGACGGGTCGGCGGCGTAGACACGACACCGTCAGCTCAGGGGGTGGTGCGGCAATCGGTAAGGTGGGGCCCCCGTATATGATTTGTCTCGCACCGTCGCACCAAGAGGCTATTATGTCTAGATTTGAAGCTTTCGTGACTGCAAGGATTCATACTCTTAGTTTTTTCGGTAAAGTCACGTAGGTAAAAAATAAAATAAAAATTTATAAAAGATGCAAGTTCTTCTTTGGTTCTTTCGGTTAAGTCACGTCTAAAGATAAAATAATAAATTAAATAATAGCCTATTACGACGTTTCGATTGCAACACAAGCAATCATCATCAGGCATAAAAGAAATAGCAACAAAAATCTAACTAGAAAACTATAGACAGACATACAAGCAGACAGACATCACAAGGACACACAGGGAGAGAACACATATCGGCACAAATAAGAACTTGCATCTTGAATCATTGCCTCACTTGATACAGCAAATCTGGCTGTGACGGTCCCACCTGATGACGGAGACTTGTGTTGCCTCCGAAACGTCGTGATTTTTATTATTTTATTTTTATTAATTAAAATTTCATTTTTTAACCTACGTGACTTCACCGAAAAAACTAAGAGTAAGGCTATTATGTATCGTGGGCTCCTCTCATCACTGCATACGTTTGTTGTTCATTGACACTGCTGTTGAAAACGTATCGCGTGGCGGTTGTCAAGGGGGCCCCAACTCGTACTTTTTTAACCTCCAGGGGGGGCCACGCTAGTTACGCTACTGACGGCGTGTAAACATTGGCCCCTGAAATTGAGCCGATGGATTATGGCGATTCGACTTGGCCGGTGCCTACCTTCGATCCGTGACATCGAATCTCCAAACGCCGCACAATTTCTAACGAGCTCAAGTTTTCCCACAAGGAGGGCGCGCGGGGATAGAAACGAAGAAAGAACAAACGCGGACAAAACGGCGGCACGGAGCCGGCGCTAACGACCGCCAAAGCTCTGACGACCGATATTGACGACGTTCCTCCACCGGGTGGTCAATTCGCCGAAGACATTCCCCCCCCCCCCCCTCAGCGTTTGTTGGGACTTATGTCCGCGGAGTTTCTGTACACCATATACGTAAATAACTAGATTACAATTTTTTTTTTTTAAATCGCCGAACACAAAACCCTCGGCACTGTCGTCCGCTCGTCAGCAGGCCACACGCGCCCGTGTGGTCCCGCCTGCCGCCCATCACCGACCTTCACGTAGGGGTTGTGCAGGGCGGCCACGGAAGTCTGCAGGGCCAGGTACTCGTACTCCTTCCAGTTGAGCAGCAGGCAGACGCACCCTTCGGCGATCACCTGCCTCGTCGGGACGTCTGCGGGGAAGGGGGAGGGGAGGGAAGTCGCGACGGTATTGTCCAAACGCTCACGTGGGAGTCTAAACTAAAAGCAAACTATTTTATTTCACCCGGTAAGGCCCCACTGAGTTGTAATAAAGCTCTTTTTTTCGGAAGCGACCTGGCCACAAGTGGCTTATCATCATCGCGTGGAAATTTACGGCGGCCAAATACTCTAAAACGCGTGACGTTAATTCGAAATGTGGAGGGAAAAACCGGAGGGACCCGGTGAAAAATCCACGCGACCACCACGGGGCGAGAGAGAGAGACACGTAAACTCTAAATATGCAGCAGCAGGCCTCGTCAGGGTCGGGATCGAACCCACGACCTCCTGTATACCAGGCAAGGTAGTTAACATCTCCTAGCCACTGTGATGATGATTGATGATGAGAGAGAGAGAGACACGCAGACTCCAAATATGCAGCAGCAGGCATCGTCAGGGTCGGGATCGAACCCACGACCTCCTGCATACCAGGCGAGGGAGATAACTTCTCACCGCCTCGGTGTCAAGAGATTTTCTATCGTGATCAATTGTGGGACGTGTCTTTACGCGATTGCACCCCACTCACTCGCCAATGTACCCACCCCTCGCACGCACGCACGCACCCACCCACCCAACTCACCCAACCCACCCACCCAACTCACCCAACCCACGCCCGCACCCACCCAACCCACCCAACCCACCCAACCCAACCCACCCAACTCACCCAACCCACCCAACCCACCCAACTCACCCCAACCCACCCAACTCACCCAACCCACCCAACCCACCAACCCACCCAACCCAACCCACCCAACTCACCCAACCCCCAACCCACCCCAACCACCAACCCACCCAACCCAACCCACCCAACCCACCCAACCCACCCAACCAACCCACCCAACCCACCCAACCCACCCAACCCACCCAACCCACCCACCCAACCCACCCAACCCACCCAACCCACCCAACCCAACCCAACCCACCCAACCCACCCCACCCAACCCACCCTGCTGCCGGCTCTCCAGGTATCCCCGTGCGCGGCCGATGATGTCTCTCGGCCTCTGCTCGACGGGAGCCCCTCCGCCCGACGACGAAAACAACGACGACGCCGACGACGCGGCCCCGCCGCCCGCCCCGCCTCCGAGGAGCTGCGGTTGGACTCCTGGCGGTAGTGCCGCCGACGCCGCCGCCGCCGTGGCGTTGTGCGCGTCGCCGCTGTCGCGCACGTCGAGCAGCAGCAGCTCGTTGAGCACCACCTGGCGCAGGCGAGGGGAGAAGTCGGCGACGAGCTCCAGGCTCGCCGTGAGCAGCTGGCGGCAGCGCGAGTGGTCCTGCCGGGGGGGGGGGGGGGGCGGAACGTCAGGCGGCTTGAAGTGTAATAACAAGTGTGATGTTGTACAGAGAGCTGGGAGCTACCACTCGCTCCCTCCAAACCACTGCCTCCAATCATCCTGAAGACGGAAGCTTGTGTTGCCTCCGAAACGTCGTGATTTTTATTTTATTTTACTTTTATTAATTTAAATTTTTTACCTACGTGACTTTACCGAAAAAACGTAAGAATATGAATCCTTGCAGTCACGAAAGCTTCAAATCTAGAATCGATCCATCCATCTCTCTGCAACTCCAGATTAGCACGGTTGGCTGCGTACGGTGCGAAAGAAGTTCAACGCGCACGCACCTCGCTCCATCTTCTCTGCTTCTCTCTCGGTCTCTCTAATCCATCTCGATGTCCCCCCTCCCTCTCGCCACCCCTCCATCGATCCATCCGTCTCTTCGTGTCCCTCTCCTCCCTTTCCTTGCTCTCTCTCTCTCTCTATCATCTGTCCCTGCGTTTGTCCAATCTCTCTATTCATCTCCCATGTTCCTGTCTCCATCTCTCCGTCGCTCCATCACCTTGCCTCCCCCCCCTCCCTCCCATTCGACCCACCTCCCTCCCCCCCTCTCCATTGTACAGTGTTGCTGTCGCTGCGCGTAATGGGAGTGACGGGAAAAAATCAGAGGAGGACGACGATGGAGGAGGAGGAGCGGGGCAGGGGGTAGGAGAAGGAAGGGAGGAGGAGGAAGGGAGGAGGATGGAGGAGGAGGATGGAGGAGGAGTAGGAGTGACCCTGTTGTTGAGGCAGCGCAGCGCTTTGGCCATGAGGATGTAGAGGAGGTCGCGGGTCACGTCCTCCTTCATGCTGAGGATGCAGCTCGTGTAGCCGCCCAGCAGCTCCCACTGATCGGTGGGGGGCAAGGGGGATGGGGTGGGGGCGAGGTCGGGGTGGGGGGAGTGGGGGGGGATGGGGTGGGGGCGAGGGGGGTGGGGGCGAGGTCGGGGTGGGGGGGGAACAACGTGAGACACCACGAGGGCGTAACCAACGCCGCCCGCCGAGTGGGGCAACGCTCGCAGCGTTTCAACCGACGCGTTTTCGGGGTCACGGCGCCGCGCGTTGTTCTAAGTGACGTCCGACGTTTCACTCCGTGTGCCCGAGCTTTGACAGTGCGATTTTCTAGTTGAGTTTTTTTTTTACGTAAAAAAAATTTTTGGGGGCCACCGACCACCAACCCCCCGTGAGGCCAACAGTAGCACGGCTCGGTTCCGGCCCGGTAAACTGCAAATGGAAAACCACCCGTACCGTGCTGGCCCCGTGTTGGCCCCGTGCTGGCCCCGCTCAGATGTGGCAGTGGAAAATGGGTGTAATGGTGAGTGGGTTAGGAGCGGAGCGAACTCTAAAACTAAACTCATTCTATTTTACCAGGTAAGGCCCACTGACCTCTCTACCTCTCTTTCTATCACAAATGACAGCTCACACACAAAGTGGCTTTTCAAGTGTACATTTATCGCAGCCAAATACTCTAAAACACATGCTTGTAAACGTGCAGGGAAAAACCGGAGTTTACCCGGAGAAAAATCCACGCGCCCACGTGGACAACACGCAAACTCCAAATATAAAGCAGCCGTCGAGGTCGCGGATCGAACCCACAACACCTCCTCCATACCAGGTGAGGGAGTTAACATCTCGCCACCGCAGCGCCACTCACCTTGCTGGAGACCGTCCAGAACTGGCGGTCGGACGTGAGGCCGTGCAGCTCGATGAGGATCTGTCGGATCCGCCACGGGTCAAAGGTGACGATCAGCTGCTGCTCCAGCTGCCCGACGCTGACGCTTGGCGATGTCACTTGGGTCGAAGAGAGAGGGAAATAAATCGATAAACCGCTGGCTGCGATCGATCCACTGCTGCATCCCCCCCACCACCCCCCCCCGCCCGAGCACCGTCACAATCACCCCTGGCAGCCCGGCGATCCGCTCCCCTCGCTCCATCTCCGCGGTGGACGTGGCGCTCTGTCAGGTGCAGTCTCTCGGTTCGTTTGGCTGTTGTCATCACTTCTAGCCACTTGCCTATTTTTTGTAGATTACGCGGCGATGCTGCTGCTGTTGCGTTGGCAGCGGTGCACAAGCACAAACAACAAAGAAACTCGTCAGCATGTGCGACGAAGAAGGGATTTTGCCCTAAACGTCGCCCATGATATACATCTTGTGTTTTAAGGCCACGGCGTTATTGACGAACCTGTTCAATTTAGAGGCAACAGGACTTGTCAAATTTTCCGATCCAAGTCTTCCTACTTACTGTCGCCTTCGGTGCAATTCCAAGCGATCGCCTGCCCCTTACCATTCGATGCACATTTCAGCAATTGATCCAAATCCTCTTGTCAACGCGCCCGATCGCCCACGTTTCTGATCGAATGTCAATGCAGGCGACAAGCAAACGATTTGAAATCTCTCTGCTCTCTCGAGTTGCCCATCTCTCCACGCACGGCGCTACCGATCACGCCTCGCTCACCGTTAATCCCTTTCCCTGGATCCCGTGAGCCATGGGAGAGACACGGGCCCTTCCCTGGCTCGCGAGAGCCACGGGACAGAGAGAGACCCTCGCTCACCACTCACTCGGAACGTCCTGGAAGGCCCACTTGGGTGTCACTCGGACCACCCGTCTCTCCACGTCAGAGGTCGCAAACAGGTTTTGATTCCTTACCCGTACGCACCAGGGTCGCAAACGGGTATCGGGTAGGGTACGGGTATCGGGTACCCGATTGCGACCTCTGGGATGAAGCCATGTTTGCAGGTGTGGGTGGGTTGATTCTAGGAACTTGAATTGTGAGAAGAGACAAGACGTTGGGAAATGAGTGACAAACGGTTACTCACCAGTGACTCATGGCCTTCTCACTCATTGGTTGGGGTGAGTCACGTGCGGCTACCCGTACCCGTACCCGGCCGCACCAGGGTCGCAAACGGGTACCCATACCCGTAACCGGCCAGGTACGGGTAGCCGGGTATCAGGTAGGGTACGGGTATCGGGTACCCGATTGCGACCTCTGCTCCACGTACAGCACTAACCGATCGCCCTTCACTCAACCGCTAACCGCTCACCGCTCACCGGGAATGTCCTGGAAGGCCGACCTGGTGGAGGCGGGCTGGAACATGGGCGAGCGTCGCCGCATGGTGTCGAGCAGCGCCTGCCTCTCCCCGTCTTCCAGCAGGCGCATGAACAGCTCGTGCGACGACACCATGAACACCAGCTGCAGGTCCTCCAGCTGCAGGCACAGGTTCCTTGCGCGCCGAGGGCGGCGCAGCGGGGGGCGGACACGCAGACGGGCGGCGGACAGGCACGCGGTCGGACGCGGAAGGGACGGACGTGCAGACGGACACACACACGGACACACGAGACGTGCGGTCAGACAGGTGCGCACGGACACGGCCAACAACAACGCACACCATTCGACACTAAGTGGCGGTGACGTCACCACGGCGCCCGTGCCAGGCCAGGTGCACTTTGAGGCCACGTGAAGTGTCGAAGGCTCGCCGACAGGAGGTCACGGGACAGACCCAGGTGCCATTGGTTGACTGACCGAGATAACCGGCAGATTGCCCCAGCTGTGCCCGCTACTGCGCCAACTTGCTGCATTTTAGCCGCCCGGTGCTCCACTCGTTGTTGTGAGCGGACAGACGCGCGGGACGGACACGCACAGATGCCTACGAGGACTGCGGATATGTAAAAAATAAAAAAGCAACCAACCGTCGAAACAAATTCGTGACAGATTTACGTGTCCGCGCGCGCACACCGCACGCGCCCAGCGCACATCTCTGCGCAGTCCTCCCTCGTGTTGCGGAGCCGTGCGTCTCCTTGTGCTCTCAGCGTCGAGTCCCATCGATGAGTCCGTGCCAAAGGGCGTTCGGATATACAGTAAAACCTTGAATTGGCGAGCATAATTCGTTCCGGAAACATGTTTGTAATCCAAAGCACTCGTATATCAGTTGTGATCACGTGACGCTCGGCAGACAAAGCGTATACACGTACTACTCGTAATGCAAGACCTCGCTCGTTTATCAAATTAATATTTACTTAAAATTTTTTCTCGTCTTGAAAAACACTCGCAGACCAAGTTACTCGCACGATAGTGATACAGCTATCGTGCTGTGACGGTTCCACCTGAAGACGGAAGCTTGTGTTGCCTCCGAAACGTCGTGATTTTTATTTTATTCTTATTAATTTTAATTTTTTACCTACGTGACTTTACCGAAAAAACCCAAGAATATAATCTCCATCTGTCCAATCTGCATGGGATGGAGCGTTGCACCCCTCTCTCGCACGTGTGGATTTTCTCCGGGTGCTCGGGTTTCCACGCACAATTCATATGCATTCGAAATCTAGATTGAAAACTCAATTTCTTCAGAACTCCTCTTTGTGCTGAGTGTTTGCTGTCCTTTCCCCGCAACCTCCGATTGGCACGGCTGGCTACGTACGGTGCGAAAGAAGTTCAACGTACATGCATGGTGATGATGTTGATTATGATGATGTTGATGATGGTGATGATGTTGATGATGTTGATTATGATGTTGATGATGTTGATGATGTTGATTATGATGTTGATGATGGTGATGATGTTGATGATGTTGATGACGGTGATGAGGTTGATGATGATGTTGATCATGGTGATGATGATAGTGATGCTGGCGATGATGTTGATGATGTTAATGATGTTGATGATGTTGATGATGTTGATGATGTTGATGATGTTGATGATGTTGATTATGATGTTAATGATGGTGATGATGTTGATGACGTTGATGATGTTGATGATGAAGGTGATGATGTTGATGATGAAGGTGATGATGTTGATGATGGTGATGATGTTGATGATGTTGATTATGATGTTGATGATGGTGATGAGGTTGATGATGATGTTGATCATGGTGATGATGATAGTGATGATGGTGGTGATGGTGATGATGATGATGCTGGCGATGGAGATTGAAAATCCATTTCTTTTTAACTGCTTCTTGTGCGTTTAGTGTTTGCTGTCCCGTCCCCCGTAACCTCCGATTAGCACGGCTGGCTGCGTACGGTGCGAAAGAAGTTCAACATACATCCCTGCAATTGCCTGTGAACATCGTATTGTATACACGCCTCTGTGTGTGGGTGATTGCGAGATGCAGTTTGCATGAACGATGATGCTGCTCCACTTAAATGCTCTTTGTTGTTGTTGCAGTTAAAACTCAACCGGCGGAAACTTACACGAGAGACAAAACCCATCTCTGCCCCAAGTGACTCACTTCAGAAACTGAGCCATGTTCTTCCTTCTCGTGGAGTCCGACGATTGGTCTCCCTTGATGGAACGCAAACACACCTGCACACAAAGACAAAGATCCCCCGTATAGCAGAGGTCGCAAACGGGTTTTGATTCCTTACCCGTACCCGTACCCGGCCGCACCAGGGTCGCAAACGGCTACCCGTACCCGTACCCGGCTGGGTACGGGTAGCCGGGTATCGGGTAGGGTACGGGTATCGGGTACCCGGTTGCAACCTCTGCCGCATAGCCTCAACGGACTGTTGGGGCAAGTGCTGTTAGCGAGCACCTGTGAAGGCCGGCAGGGCACACAGGGCCAAAACCACACCGGCCGCCTTTGTCTCCCTAGTGGCGATGTTTACACACCGCACCAGGTACTCATTTGAGGCTGAATCGACCTAGGAGAGAAGGCTCAGGACCGGTTCAGATATTCGTTACCGATGTTGCCCTGTGAGTGGGAATCGAACTTGGGTCACCGGATTTGTAGCGTAACGCGCTAACCACGACACTACCGCTTCCCACATCCTACACACAGACACACACATGTCCCACACCCACCAATCACAACCTCCACTTCACTGGTTACCTGTACAACGACTTTATTGCCAGCCTCCCGAGTTTCTTACACACCGCACCAAGTACTCATTTGAGGCTGAGTCGACCTAGGCAAGGCCCAGGACCGGTTCACATAATCGTCACTGGTGTCGACTGTGAGCGGGAATCGAACTCGGGTCGCCGGGTTTCGTAGCGCAGCGTGCTAACCGCTCCACCGCCGCTCATCTCAATCATTTACCCACTCGCCCACCACCTCACCCACCACCTCACCCACCACCTCACCCACCACCTAATCCACCACCTAATCCACCACCTCACCCACCACCTCACCCACCACCTCGCCCACCACCTCACCCACCACCTCACGCTCCACCTCACCCACCACCTCACCCACCACCTCACCCACCACCTCACCCACCACCTCACCCACCACCTCACCCACCAGCTCACCCACCACCTCACCCACCACCTCACCCACCACCTCACCCTCCACCTCACCCACCACCTCACCCACCACCTCACCCACCACCTCACCCACCACCTCACCCACCACCTCACCCACCACCTCACCCACCACCTCACCCACCACCTCACCCACCAGCTCACCCACCAGCTCACCCACCACCTCACCCACCACCTCACCCACCACCTCACCCACTCAATCACTCATTCTCGCAAGTGAGATTACTCATCCCTCTTGGAAGCTCTCGCCTCCTTTAAAACAAAATAAACCTAAATTTAATGATCGAGACGGGGAGGTGTGGGGGGCGGCGACGGGGGGGGGGGGGGGATGGGGCGGCTCACCTCCAGCAGGAAGTCGATCGTCTGAGCGGACGGCTTCTGCAGCAGCTGCAGGAAGGACACCCCAGCGGGACGCCCCTGGCACAAGTCTCGCACGCCGTTGCACACGCACACGCGTGCGCACAGCTCCTCCAGGCCGGCGCCGCCGCTCCTGCATGCGCCGTGTGTCGCCGGGGGCACGCGCGAGGTTGCGGTGTGAAACGGTAAAAGGCGATAATCGTCCGAATAGCAACTTTCATAATAATGAATAAAAATTACGTTTAGAAAGAGGCTTTTTCACAAGGCACCCGCGGCAGGCACTGCACATCGCCAACGAATATACAGCGAGTCCTCGTTTAACACGGCAGATGCGTTCCTGAAAACGTTCCGTGCCGAGCGAAAGACGCGTCAAGCGAGATAACTATTTCCCCACCAATAATGTAACGGTACGGTTTGGCGAGATACGATGTACTCTACTACTGCGCGCACACACAAGTGAGACGGCGGGACAAATAACCGCGTCACCGTATCATTCCGCGTACCGTATCGCACCGCTCAGCCGCGCGGCTCAAGAAAGTAGTTCGCCATATAACAATAGGTTTGACCCGTTCTGCCAATAAAACAGTTGTGTTAAGATGTTAACACACCAAACAGTATCCTTTTTCAAGGAATCCTGTCTGCATTAACCACGTATATTTGTGTTGAACACGCAAACAAAAAACATGCTCCGATATAATATGTGCATTGTCTTTGAAACTGAGTCTTGGTCCACACCAGAGACAGCTTTCTTTTGAGCCTCGTTTCAAAGTGTTAGAACCAGAGAACGCCAAAAGGCGTACAATACAAGGACAATGCACTATGGGGGCATTTATACTAACACCTTTTTTATTGCCAGAAAGGGCAAAACGTATCGTTACATTTTGATACTGCCATGAAAAGTGCCCATAAAGTAGTTCGCCTTCGACCGCTCGGGAACGGCGTTTTGACGGAGCGCGTTCCGCTTCGCGCTGAAGGTGCTCCCGAGTGGAAGAACGCGTCGCGTTGCAGCGGGAACGCGTCGCGTGGAACGACGCGCCCGGCGATGACTCGCCCTGCTTCGGTCACAGGCCCAGGGGAGGAGCAGCTAAGACGACGGACAGACGCTAATTCGGAGGAGCGAACGCCGCGGAGAGAGTGAACGAGTTTACACCATTGGAACCTCATTTGGCAGTAAAAAATATGATAATCGGTTTTTTACCCTGCCAGATAAAAGGGTAAAAAACCGATTATCATATTTTTTACTGGCAAATGAGGTTCCAATGGTGTAAATGCTTACCCCGAGCTCTCGTACTCTGATGGTGCATTGTCTTTGAGTTGTGCGCCTTTTGGCGTCATCTGGTCCAACACCATACCATGTGAGACGAGGCTCTAAGGAAAGCTGTCTCGGGTGCGGACCAATCAACTTCAAGGAGAGTGCATACATTATCAGAGTTGTGTTTTTTGTTTGCATTATGACTGCAGGTATTGTGGTCAATGCAAACATGACTCCTCGTAAAAAAATAAAAAAGGTGTCAGTTTTGTTGCCAGATAAAAGGGTAAAAAAAACAATTATCAGTGAACGAGTTATCGAGCCTGGGTGTAAACTAGGCCGCTGAAGAACAAACAGCCGCTGGGTAAATGTTCCACAGGCCGGGGGGGGGGGGGGGGGGGACGGGGGGGGGGGGGGGGGGGGACGACAGCGCAGCAGAAGGGACGAGAGGGGGTGGTGGTCACACGTCGTGTGGAGGAGCCACGTCCGGGGATTGTACAGGGGTCACCGGCCGTCGGGAGAACAAAGCCTTCCGGATGACGGCCACACATGTGGTGGGGGTTGGGGGTTTGGGGGGGGCGGTGAACTAATCTGCGAGATAATTCGGGGTCCGTCAATTTTTTTGAAAGCCTCGTCGGTCAGGAGGAGGATCTGAAACTCCGACTCTGAGCTGCTGCAGGAAGCCAGCGAAGGGAGGCCAGGAGCGGGAGCAGCGCTTCCGCTCGCCGGGACTCCGGGATGAGATTCCGCAAAGGAGCAGAGATCGGGAGGTTTGCGGAGGAACGCCGTGAGAATGAAAAATAAGTTCATACCTCAGTGGACTTTGCCTAGTAGGATGGGGATGGTTTAGTTTCATGTATTTGTGTTTTGTTGCTTTATACTCTTAGGTTTTTTCGGTAAAGTCACGTAGGGGAAATAAATAAATAATGAAAATAAATAATAATTTTTTGGGGAAATAATGATAGAAAATTTTTTTTTTATTCACGACGTTTCGGAGGCAACACAAGTCTCCGTCATCAGGTGGGACCGTCACAGCTAGATTTACTGTATCAAGTGAGGCAAAATTCCAAGAGACAAGTTCTTAAATACACACACCCCCGCCAAACTGCGAAAGCTTGGCAGGACCCTCCTGGAAGAGAGCCGTGGATGCCAACTCACCCCGACTGCACTTGTTGGCCGAGCTCCCGCAGCAGAGACTGCCGGTAGTGCGTGGGCAAGCCCTGGGTGAGGTTGTCCTCTAGAAGGGTGTCCACCACACTCTGCGGGGAGAGACAGGGCGTACAACAAGGGTGAGGGTGGGGAGGGATAATAGACGGGGGTTGACTTGAGAGACAAAAGTCAAACGAACATCTGCTGTGCAGCCTTTAAAAAGACTGCTGGAGCAAGTAGTGACGGTGACCAACTCACTAACACACGCACCTAGCAAGATACCGACACACTCACTAACACACACATCTAACAAACTACCAACACACCCACTAACCCACCTTACAAACTACCAACACCCCCATTAACCCACCTAATGCTCCACGTACCATCCAAAACATCTGTCCACCAACCTGCCGGCCGACCAACCCACCAACTAAGCCACCACCAACTAAGCCACCACCAACCAACCCACCACCAACGAACACACCTTCCAGTCGCTGGCCTTGAGGTAGCGCTGGATGTTGGCGTAGGAGTTGGTGCGGGGGGCGGTGCCGGGCAGGGCGGCCTCGTGCGTCCCCACCGCCCCCGCGACCTCACAGGCCGCACCGTCGCCCGGCAGCACGGCGCTGCACGCCTGCCAGTAGCCGCCAAGACGCGTGCGGTCCACCTGGGTGCAAGCGGCTGAGACTCCCACCTGGGCGGGGAGATTATGATTTAAAAGTTTGTTATGGCAGTCCACGTTGTAGGGTGCGTGGGGGGCACGTCCATAAATGACGTCACGCACCTGGGGGGGGGGGTGTCAGACATTTGTGACGATGTGTGACGGGGAGGGGGTTTTGAGAAATGACGTCACATCAAAATTCGCAACTTTAAATAAATGTAGACAACACGTTCTGCTTAATTAAAGACTTTTTAATAAATTTTTTCTCCTACAACATCAGAGTGCAGCGCCACATTAAATACGCACTAAAATGACAATAGTTTAAAGCGATTTAAAGCATGTTTTATATATTTTTTGGGGGGGGGGGGGGTGCGAGAGCTTTGTGACGTCATATTTGAGGGGGGGTCTGACTTTTTCTGACGCCGTGTGACGAGGGGGGGGGGGGTCAAAAATCGTCCAAAATCGCGTGACGTCATTTATGGACGGCCCCTAGGTCAGCCAATCATTATCTCTCAGGGGTCGATAAAACGAGAACCACTTCATTCACAGGCATGCGCCACCACAGCCAACCTGGCTAAATGTCACAAATATCAAACGTACCCCATTATTCCTCGTAGTATCATTATAATTAGGAGTACTGATTTTCGTAGTCTGTAAAACGGGGCAAACCTTGTCCAGGAGTTGCTTCGTGCGGAGGAAGTGGTCCCGCGCCTTGTGATACTGCGAGAAGTCGGAGGAGCCACGCATGAAGTACACAGAGCCCAGGTCGTAGCAAACCTGACAACAACAACAGCAGCAGCAACAACAACAGCAACTGAGCAGCAAGTCAACGTTTCGGCAGCCTGGGCCTAAACTGCGCCGTAGCGCGTTCCTACCGCTCGTTGCGTTGGTTCGCGGTTCGAATCCGGCAGGCTGCCCTGGTAAATGTACGTATGGATGTATGTATGCTGCCGTGCCGCTTGGCGAGTTTGGAGCGTGCACGAAAACAACAAAAACAAAACCCGGCAGCGAAGCGCGCGACCACCACAACCACTCACGCAGCAGTGCAGCTCGTCACGAGGGATACGCATTCCCTGGCCGGCGTCGATCCCACCGTCATCCGCCAACCCCGGCGGCTCGCCACCGCCACCGCCCCCGGCGTCGCCGTGCCCGTTAGCCACAGCCGGCGATGACGACGACGATGTCGTCACGGCGGTTGCCGGCGCCGCCGATGTGACCGGCACGGCGAGTCGGCTGAGCGTGTCGATGGTGTGGACGCAGAGCGTGTCGGGAAGAAGCAGAGCTTCCTCCAGCACCGCGATCGAGTCCTGGCACTGCTCGCGAAGCTGACCGAGTTGGTGGGGGAGGGGGGGAGAGAGACAAGAGTGGAAATTCTAGATTTGAAGTTTTCGTGACTGCAAGGATTCATATTGTTAGGTTTTTTCGGTAAAGTCACGTAGGTAAAACATTTAAATTAATAAAAGTTAAATAAAAAAATCACAACGTTTTTACCTACGTGACTTTGCCGAAAAAACCTAAGAATATGAAGAGTGGAAATTCCCCATTCCTCGCTCAGCCATCGTACAAAGACGGTAACCACATCGCGCGCTTTCAGATGCGCTTTTGCGGCCGTCTGGAATGTTTTTCCCTCCGACATTAGGAAGCCACTGGAGCTGTGCACTTTAAACTCGGGATTGAAAACGAATTTATTTAGAACGGATTGGTGTTGTTCATATTCTTAGGTTTTTTCAGTAAAGTCACGTTGGACCATCTTATCTGACAGGCACTATTTTACTTTACCGAGTGTTAACATCCCCAGTGTTTAACAGTAATCCCTTCATTGTTCAGCCAGCATTGGTATAAACATGTGCATTTTCTTTTCTTTTCTATCATGTGTATCAGGCCTCCCCCTCCCCCCTCTCTGTCCAATGCGTTGGCGTGTGCAGCAGTTTGTCGCCTGCGCACAATCGCTTCCACGCCGTCGCCCACCCTTTCATTCATTGGCTACCACATTCTGATGAGCTCCCCCCCCCCCCCTCTCCTCCCCCCTCAACTCGCTTTTAAGGGATTACATCTTGAATCATTGCCTCACTTGATGCAGCTAATCTGGCTGTGACGGTCCCACCTGATGACGGAGACTTGTGTTGCCTCCGAAACGTCGTGATCTTTATTTTATTTTAATTTTATTAATTTTGATGTTTTACCTACGTGACTTTACCGAAAAAACCTAAGAATATGAATCCTTGCAGTCACGAAAGCTTCAGATCTAGAAGAAATGGTGTTGTTCAGTTTGTTATCCTTCGTCCCACCAACTATGTTTGGCAAGGTTGGCTACGTACGGTGCGAAAGAAGTTCAACAAACATACATACGTACATACATCAATGGCCACTATGAACTCATCCACAAAATGGTATTCGTTTTATTGACCCCCGGAGTGATGATAAGCTGAGTCTCATGTGACGACGCAGTTATATTTGTACCGATGAATTGCCATACTTTATTTTGTTTATTTTGCTTTCGTTATTTTTGGCCGACCCAGGTCACAATCTGACTCTAGGTCTTCTCATTGCCATGCAGTTGGAATGTATTTCAAAGACTACCCTGACAGTCTAAATACTATGAACACTGACCACAATGATGGTGATGATGACAGTGGTGGTAAAAATGGTGATTATGATTCCTGTTGTGATGGTGATAATGATGATGACGAAAGCCGTGGTAGTGATGACAAACTGTAGTGGTAGTGAAGATGGTGATGGTTATAACTGTCATGGTAGAGATAATAATGTTGACAGCATTGATAGGTATACAGATGATGAGGGTAGTTTGGGTGGTGGTGGTAGTGATGATCAAGATAATGAAGGTTGTGATAAAGATGATACTTTGGTAGAGACGATGATGATTATGAATATGTAGTGATGATCACGGTGATGGTGGTAGTGATGTAAACGATGCAAGCAGTGGCGGTAGTGATGGTTGTGATCAAGATAAAGATGATGATGAGTGACTGTAGTGATGATAACGACGACGATTCCGAATCTCGACTCACCACTTTCAAAATCGCTTCCGTCATTTCCTTTTCCTGCTGCAACTGATTCATTCTGTTCGGGAATAACAATTTCACATCGGCTGCAACACCCGCGACAGCGAAACCGCAGCGTCTAATCATTACCGCCAGCGGGTGGTCCCCTTCCATAGCGGCACCGTTTCAAATGTCTAACGAGCGACCCTCGGGACCCGCACTAGGCCAGACCACCCCCCCCCCCCCCCGCGGCAAGAGGGAACGTGTCCGTCATCGAGCTCTCGAGAGGTTAAACGGCTGCCCTGAGTGACGAGTTCCAAGTCTGCGCCACTTCTAAGGGAGGGGGGGAAGCCGCGCGAGAGAGCAGGTGGTGTGCTAAACGTGGGCTGGCCGGCTCTTTCGTTCGTTCCTTCGTTGGTTTTGTTCCTCCGTCCGTTCGCCGCGCCGCCGCCGGTTTCGGTTCGGCGACGTGGCGAGATTCGCCGCTCCTCGAAGAGGCTCGCGGTCCGAACCGCAGAGGCGGCCCCGGTTGACGCTACGGGCGGCTGCTGGACGTTAAATATCCCGCGACAATATTCGCAAAAAGGGCGTTGGAGTAGCGGTCCAGAGTTGCTTAAATTCGAAAAGATGACACCGAAAAAATATAACCCGTAAAAACAAAGTTTTTCACTATAAATCCTTTATATGCGTGGCATCGGTTTTATTGTATTATTCATTTCTGTTTTTCTTGAGTAAGAGTTTCATTTTTATCACATTGGTATTGGATCATGGGAAGTGGGTTAAAAAACGACCGAAAGATTTGCACGGTCGTAAGCGCGCAAGCAAGTGAACTTAATATAAAGGATTTAAAAAAGTACCCAATTGGGAAAAACATAGCTACAATGGCTGCTACTGCGGAACCATCGCCGACCGTCCGTGAAACATACAGCGCCCTCCTCCGTGAAGACAGCCTTGCCGCTATAATAATGTCACGAACACCAAATGTACTCACGGTAATAGCCAGCGCAATGGGTCACCTTCGGCGTCATCATCACCACCACCGTTGACATCACCGTCAAATCATAATTCTGAATGATTTTCGGATGTGACGATGACGAGCAAGGTGGTGCTGATGATGACGACGACGACGACGATGATGATGATGCTGACGACAGCGACGATGGCAATGGCTGACCCCCCGAGAACAGCAAGGTGACAATGAGACACAAGCTAGCAGCGGAGGACTCACACGGTCGGTTGCAGGGGACCCGACTTGGGCTGCTTGGCAGGGAAACTGCACTGGACGTTTGCTCTGACCGCCCTGGAGAGAGAGCGAGGCAGGGTAGGGAGGGACATGCAGCGACTGAAAGTCAAAGAGGTTTGCTGCTCATTTCCTGTGGCCAGTGGTAGAAAATCCACGTTTCTATGGCCGGGACACGTTTAACTTCAGCAGAACCGCTGTTGGCTTCTCCGTGCTGTGATAGTCATTTTATCGACCCCCCGAAGTGATTTCGGTGGGCTGGCTCAACCTTCCCTCCTACCCCAGGCTTGCAACTCGCAGCCTTCAGGTGTGAGTCACTCGCCACCTGGGCCGGTTGAGGCAACAACAACAACAGGAAGATTTATATTCTTAGGTTTTTTCGGTAAAGTCACGTAGGTAAAACATTAAAATTAATAAAAGTAAAATAAAATAAAAATCACGACGTTTCGGAGGCAACACAAGCTTCCGTCTTCAGGTGGAACCGTCACAGTGATTTTTATTTTATTTTACTTTTATTAATTTTAATGTTTTACCTACGTGACTTTACCGAAAAAACCTAAGAATATGAATCCTTGCAGTCACGAAAGCTTCAAATCTAGAAGGAAGATTTATATCGTCAGCAAGAGTTATCATCGTTGTCAGCGATGGTCTATCGGCTCCCTCCCCATCCCGTTGCTATGACCTCATGCTCCTGCGATGTAACAATCCGCCTGGCGGCTGCGCACGATCTCATCGCTCCGTCTCCGTGGCGGGTGTCATCTCCGTTCCAACTACGGTACGACAACGAAAATAATGACGACAATGAAGGTGACAATGACCACGACTGCAGCGACGATAACGCTCGTGGCAATGGCGATGAATACGATCATTACCATGGGGAATATGACGACGGCGATGACGTCGACGACACGGACAATGATAATTGATAATTGTTTTTTTACCCTTCTAGCTGGCAACTTTTTTTACAAGGAGTCATGTTTGCATAGACCACAATACCTGCAGCCATAATGCAAACAAAAAACGTAACTCTGATCATATATGCACCGTCCTTGAAGTTGATTGGTCCACACCCGAGACAGCTTTCCTTAGAGCCTAGTCTCACATGGTGTTGGACCAGATGACGTAAAAAAAGGTGTCAGTTTTGTTGCCAGACAGAAGGGTAAAAAACAATAATCATATTTTTTTACTGGCAAATGAGGTTCCAATGGTAACTAAATGTAATCACGACGTTTCGGAGGCAACACAAGCTTCCGTCGTCAGGTGGAACAGCCACAGCAATTTTGCCTCCGAAACGTCGTGATTTAGAGCCGAGTCTCACATGGATACGGACAATCACGACGCCCGTGACAGCAATAACGATTACGACAACGATGACAATTACGGTGACGATCGTAACGACTATGACGACGACGACGACGGGATGAAAGCGTCTCACTGACCAGCGGTGGTAGAGGATGACGGCCATGGCGGTGTAGGCCGGCAGGCTGGCGAGGCCCAGCTCGGTGTGCGAGACGCCCGGCGGCACACGGCTCACGGCCAGTAGCTCGTCCAGCAGCATGTTCAGCACCGGCACGCTGAGCCTGGCACACGCGGCAACACAGCTCGGTACGGTACAACTCAATGCGGTAAGAACTCAATACAATACAGCAGCATGTTCAGCACCGGCACGCTGAGCCTGGCACACGCGGCAACACAGCTCGGTACGGTACAACTCAATGCGGTAAGAACTCGTTACAATACAGCAGCATGTTCAGCACCGGCTTGCTGAGCCTGGCACACGTGGCAACACAGCTCGGTACGGTACAACTCAATGCGGTAAGAACTCAATACAATACAGCAGCATGTTCAGCACCGGCACGCTGAGTCTGGCACACGCGGCAACACAGCTTGGTACGGTACAACTCAATGCGGTAAGAACTCAATACAATACAGCAGCATGTTCAGCACCGGCACGCTGAGCCTGGCACACGTGGCAACACAGCTTGGTACGGTACAACTCAATGCGGTAAGAACTCAATACAATACAGCAGCATGTTCAGCACCGGCACGCTGAGCCTGGCACACGCGGCAACACAGCTCGGTACGGTACAACTCAATGCGGTAAGAACTCGTTACAATACAGCAGCATGTTCAGCACCGGCACGCTGAGCCTGGCACACGTGGCAACACAGCTTGGTACGGTACAACTCAATGCGGTAAGAACTCAATACAATACAGCAGCATGTTCAGCACCGGCACGCTGAGCCTGGCACACGCGGCAACACAGCTTGGTACGGTACAACTCAATGCGGTAAGAACTCGTTACAATACAGCAGCATGTTCAGCACCGGCACGCTGAGCCTGGCACACGCGGCAACACAGCTTGGTACGGTACAACACGGTGCGGTAAGAACTCAATACAATACAGCAGCATGTTCAGCACCCGTGAGTACGCTCAGCCTGGCACACGACAAACGCAACTCAATACAACTCAAAATGCAACTCAAAATGCAACTTAAAATACAACTCAGTACAATGCAACGCACTACAACACAGCTCAACTAAATGAAACTCCATAGAGTAACAACTCAATACGACACAATTCAGCGGCAGCAGCAGCAGCAGCATGTGCAACGCTGGCACACTGCAGGCTCGAAACGCACCCGTGAGTACGCTCAGCCTGGCACACGACAAACGCTACTCAATACAACTCAAAACACAACTCAATACAATGCAACGCACTACAACGCAGCTCAACTAAATGAAACTCCATAGAATAACAACTCAATACGACACAATTCAGTAGCAGCATGTTCAACGCTGGCACACTTCAGGCTCGACACGCACCCGTGAGTACGCTCAGCCTGGCACACGACAAACGCAACTCAATACAACTCAATACAATGCAACGAACTACAACGCACTACAATGCAACTCAACTAAATGAAACTCCATAGAATAACAACACAATACGACACAATTCAGCGGCAGCAGCAGCAGCATGTTCAACGCTGGCACACTTCAGGCTCGACACGCAACGCGGGCTAGGTCCCGGGGGCACGTCGTGTGACACGCGTGTCACGCCCGTTACACGCATGTGACACGCGTGACGGGCGTGACGGGCGCCTGCTCACTTCCGCTCGAGCAGCGCAAGGTCCCACTGGAGGTGAGCGGCAGTCCGCAGCGCCAGCAGCTTGAGCACGCGGTTGCGCTTGTTGTTGGCGGGCGGCACCGCCTGGTTCTGCTCAGTTCACCGTCGACTTGGACGCCTGCTCCAGGAACAGGCTGATGAGCACCACGCCCGACGGATCTGCCGTCGATCGCAAAGCGAAAGACGAATAGGAGGAGTTGGGGGGGGGGAGATGACAAACCATGAGCTACTCACTGCTGGATGAATGTCTCCCCCTCCCCCACCCCCACCCCCAAACGCCACCCCCAAGAAGCCACCGTCGCTCGCGATGCGACAATCCAGCACCGTTAAACGCAAGCAGTCGTCGTTGTGGCCGAAACGTCGTGAGAATTGTTTTATTATGTTTTATTTTTATTATTTTATTATTTCCATTCTACGTGACTTTACCGAAAGAACCAAGAAGATGAATCCCTGCAGTCACGAAAGCTTTAAATCGAAAGTTCAACACAGATACGTGCCAGCCTTCGTAGGTGCTACTCGCTGACAGCATTTGTGTGTGTGAGGGTGTCAGGTAACTTCTACATTGAAAAATATTGTAACCCAAACATTGTACACACGAGTAAAAAGGCACACACACACACAAAGATCCCCCATATAGGCTCCACCAGACTGATGGGGCAAGTGCTGTTAGTGAGCACCTATCAGGGCCAGCACGACATAGGAGGGGGTGGGTGGCCAGCACAGCGCTCTAACCGCTACAATAACACACGAGTATACACACACACACGAGTACACACACACAGTACACACACAGGAGTTCACACACACACACACAAGTACACACACACACACACACGAGTACACACACACACACGAGTACACACACACACGAGTACACACACACACGAGTACACACACACACGAGTACACACACACACACGAGTACACACACACACACGAGTACACACACACACACACGAGTACACACACGCGTACACACACACACGAGTACACACACACACACGAGTACACACACACACACACACGCGAGTACACACACACACACACGAGTACACACACGAGTACACACACACACACCGAGTACACACACACACACGAGTACACACACACACACAAGTACACACACACACACGAGTACACACACACGAGTACACACACACACACACGAGTACACACAACACACGAGTACACACAAACACACGAGTACACACACACACACGAGTACACACACACACACGAGTACACACACACACACGAGTACACACACGAGTACACACACACACGAACACACACACGAGTACACACACACACACACGAACACACACACGAGTACACACACACACACACGAGTACACACACACACGAGTACACACACACACACACGAGTACACACACACACACACGAGTACACACACACACACACGAGTACACACACACACACACGAGTACACACACACACACGAGTACACACACACACACACGAGTACACACACACACGAGTACACACACACACACACGAGTACACACACACACGAGTACACACACACACACACACGAGTACACACACACACACGAGTACACACACACACGAGTGTACACACACACACACGAGTACACACACACACACACGAGTACACACACACACACGAGTACACACACACACATACGAGTACACACACACGAGTACACACACACGAGTACACACACACACGAGTACACACACACACACACACGAGTACACACACACATACACACTAGTACACACACACACACGAGTACACACACACACGAGTACACACAACACACGAGTACACACACACACACGAGTACACACACACGAGTACACACACGAGTACACACACACACGAACACACACACGAGTACACACACACACACGAGTACACACACACACGAGTACACACACACACACACACACGAGTACATACACACACACGAGTACACACACACACACGAGTACACACACACACACGAGTACACACACACACGAGTACACACACACATACACACACACGAGTACACACACCCACACACGAGTACACACACACACGAGTACACACACACACACGAGTACACACACACGAGTACACACACACACATACGAGTACACACACACGAGTACACACACACACACGAGTACACACACACACGAGTACACACACCCACACACGAGTACACACACACACACGAGTACACACACACACACACGAGTACACACACACACACGAGTACACACACACACACGAGTACACACACACACACACGAGTACACACACACACACACGAGTACACACACACACACACACACGAGTACACACACACACGCGTACACACACACGAGTACAACAACAACAACAACCGCCATTCGCCACTAAGTGGCGGTGACGTCACCACGATGCTTGTGCCAGGCCAAGTGCACCTTGAGGCCACGTGAAGTGTCGAACGCCCGCTGGCAGGAGGTCACGGGGCAGACCCAGGTGCCACGGGTCGACTGACCGAGATGACCGAGATGACTGGCTGATGCACCACCTGTGCCCCCTACTGTACCAACTTGCTGTGCTTTAGCCACCCGGCGCTCCGCTCGTTGTTGTGAGCGTCGCTCCTCCGCCCTCCGTTGTTGTTGGAGGGCGACTGCTTCCAACTGCCCAGTAGCGTCCTTCACGAGCCTCCTCCACTGAGGCCGATCTTGACACCGCTGGTACCAGTCATCGGCAAGTCCACTCAGCTCCACGTCCTCCTGTACCACATCACTCCATCTCTTCTCCAGCCCGTGCCGCGCCCGTCTAGCCCCCTCGATCCGGCCGAACAAAAGCTGTTTAGGCATGCGGTGGCTGGGCATGCGGGCTACATGACCCAGCCAACGCAGCCTTGCCTGCCGGAGGAGCTCACTGATGGGACTTTGTCCAGATCTTTCGAGGATTTGTGAGCTCCTCACACAATCCAGCCTGGTTAAACCCAGGATGGATCGTAGGCAGGCCAGCCTAAATGTTTCCAACCGGCGAAGATGCTCCACTAGGGGGGTCCACGTTTCGCAAGCGTAGAGAAGGGAGGGAATGACCGTGGCCGAGAAGACCTGAAGCTTCGTGCGGAGCGACAGACCAGGTAGCTTCCACACAGCGATACGCAACCGATGAAAAGATATTGCCGCTCGACTGATTCGGAGTGAGACCTCTGCTGATAAACTGGAGCCGGTCATAAGCACACTGCCCAGGTATGGGAAACTCTCCACTCTCTCCACAACTGCCCCATCACTAATTGGGAGTTGTGGGGGTGGAGTGTCCGATGGTACAAAATACCCAGGCAGGTGCTTAGTTTTGGTGGGGCTGATGGTAAGGCCCCACCTCTTAGTGGCACGCTCCATTCTCAGCAGCAGCGTCTCCAACTCCTCTTCTGAATGAGCAGCTATTACCAAATCATCGGCATACATAACGTGGTTGACCAATAGGGAGCCATCCCTTGATCGCACCCGGGCATCGATCAGCCTCCCATTATATCTGTACCAAATGGAAATTCCCCCGGTACAGCTATTGAAGGCTTCACGAACTACGCGGTCAAAATAGATGTTAAATAATGTGGGAGCCAGAGGACATCCCTGTCGCACCCCAAGGTGTACAGGGAAAGGCTCCGACTCCCGGCCACGTAGTTTTACCCGGGCCCGCTCACCGTCATGAAGGTCCTTAATGATCGTGAGCAGAGGGTCAGGGACTCCGAAAGCACGAAGAACAACCCAGAGCCCAGTCCTACAACAACAACAACAACCGCCATTCGCCACTAAGTGGCGGTGACGTCACCACGATGCTTGTGCCAGGCCAAGTGCACCTTGAGGCCACGTGAAGTGTCGAAAGCCCGCTGGCAGGAGGTCACGGGGCAGACCCAGGTGCCACTGGTCGACTGACCGAGATGACCGAGATGACTGGCTGATGCACCACCTGTGCCCCCTACTGTGCCAACTTGCTGTGCTTTAGCCACCCGGCGCTCCGCTCGTTGTTGTGAGCGTCGCTCCTCCGCCCTCCGTTGTTGTTGGAGGGCGACTGCCTCCAACTGCCCAGTAGCGTCCTTCACGAGCCTCCTCCACTGAGGCCGATCTTGACACCGCTGGTACCAGTCATCGGCAAGTCCACTCAGCTCCACGTCCTCCTGTACCACATCACTCCATCTCTTCTCCAGCCCGTGCCGCGCCCGTCTAGCCCCCTCGATCCGGCCGAACAAAAGCTGTTTAGGCATGCGGTGGCTGGGCATGCGGGCTACATGACCCAGCCAACGCAGCCTTGCCTGCCGGAGGAGCTCACTGATGGGACTTTGCCCAGATCTTTCAAGGATTTGTGAGCTCCTCACACAATCCAGCCTGGTTAAACCCAGGATGGATCGTAGGCAGGCCAGCCTAAATGTTTCCAACCGGCGAAGATGCTCCACCAGGGGGGTCCACGTCTCGCAAGCGTAGAGAAGGGAGGGAATGACCGTGGCCGAGAAGACCTGAAGCTTCGTGCGGAGCGACAGACCAGGTAGCTTCCACACAGCGTTACGCAACCGATGAAAAGATATTGCCGCTCGACTGATTCGGAGTGAGACCTCTGCTGATAGACTGGAGCCGGTCATAAGCATACTGCCCAGGTATGGGAAACTCTCCACTCTCTCCACAACTGCCCCATCACCAATTGGGAGTTGTGGGGGTGGAGTGTCCGATGGTACAAAATACCCAGGCAGGTGCTTGGTTTTGGTGGGGCTGATGGTAAGGCCCCACCTCTTAGTGGCACGCTCCAGTCTCAGCAGCAGCGCCTCCAACTCCTCTTCTGAATGAGCAGCTATTACCAAATCATCGGCATACATAACGTGGTTGACCAATAGGGAGCCATCCCTTGATCGCACCCGGGCGTCGATCAGCCTCCCATTATATCTGTACCAAACGGAAATTCCCCCGGTACAGCTATTGAAGGCTTCACGAACTACGCGGTCAAAATAGATGTTAAATAATGTGGGAGCCAGAGGACATCCCTGTCGCACCCCAAGGTCCTACACACACTAGTACACACACACTAGTACACACACACGAGTACACACACACACGCGTACACACACACGCACACACACACACGCACACGAGCACACACACGAGTACACACACACACGAGTACACACACACACGAGTACACACACACGCACACGAGTAAACACACACACATGAGTGCACACACACACACACTAGTACACACACACACAAAGTACACACACACACACGAGTACACAGACACACGAGTACACACACACACGAGTACACACACATGTGTACTAGCACACACACACACGAGTACACTTCGTACTCGGACTGGGCTTGCTCAGGTGAAGGTCCAGCAGGTTCTCGTCGAGGAGAAACTCAAACCACGTCGTGGGAGCGGGGACGTCAGCGGCCACCCCCATTTCAGCCGCCGCCTCCAGACTCCCGGCAGGCCTAGGCCGAGACCACGGCCTTGCCTGGACGCGCGTACCGACGGAGAGAGGGGTCGGGCGGTAGGGAGCGGCTGAGCGACAGCGGCGATTGAATTCAAAACTAAAATGTCACCGTTTTACATTTAAAAAGAAAACAGTAATTTGCGAAACAATCACTAAACGCGATTAATGTTACGGGCGATTGTTAAATGTTCGTGGTTGTTGAAGGTACGGGTCTGAACTTACTTGTTATTGAAGAGTGCCGAAGAGCAGATTCAAACGCGTGGTGCAGGAATTAAATAATTAAATCGGAGGGGGGTGTGTGGAATCGATTCTCGATTCTTTGTGGGATTACAACAACATCGATACATTAACAACAATAATATGACCTGAAACATCGCCTGTTATTATAAATGTATCACCCTCCCCCCTTTTTAAAGCGCTGCTAATGCAGTCGCAGCAGCAGCAACGCCAAATCAATCTGTTCTGTTAATATGACACGAATCCGGCAGTTACAAATGTAATCGATTATTCAGTAGTAATCGTACGCCGTCGAGGAATCGATTCCAACGATAGCGACACTGCTGATGAGACACGAAAAGTCGAAACCGTTGATAAGGGGCCGTCCATAAATGACGTCACGCGAATTTGGACGATTTTTGACCCCCCCCCCCCTCTCGTCACAAGGCGTCACAAAAAGTCAGACCCCCCTCATATATGACATCACAATGCTCTGCCCCCCCCCCCTCCCAAAAAAATAAGACAGGCTTCAAATCGCTTTAAACTATTGTCATTGTAGTGCGTATTTAATGTGGCGCTGCACTCTGATGTTGCAGGAGGAAACATTTATTAAAATTATATTTAATTAAGTAGAACCTGTTGTCTATCTATATATATAAAATCGCAAATCTGTCTGTCTGTCCGTCTGGCTGTGTGTCGCCGGACCATACGCAGTTTCATTGGACGGCGGTTGCCCCTGGCAACGGGTAGCGACGCATTCGCTGCGGGGTGGACGCCATTTTTAATTCCCGTTAAAAATATGCGCACGCATTAACACGCGACTCTGAGGTAAATTCTTCAAAGTTTCACGTCCTCTTCACTCCCCCCCCCCCCACCCCAATGTGTGCAATTACTATTATAGGGTCGGTAGATAATAAAATTATAGCGATTACACAGTATTATTGTAGCGCGGGGGGGGGGGGGGGTAACGGCCCCAGTATCCAGCCTCAGCCGGGTGGGCAATCTAGGCGAGGCCGGAGGCTCTGCACGGTAGTGGCCGAACGTCGTGAGAATTGTTTATTATGTTTTATTTTTATTATTTTATTACTTCCCTTCTACGTGACTTTACCGAAAAAACCAAGAAGATATTGTCATTGTAGTGCGTATTTAATGTGGCGCTGCACTCTGATGTTGTAGGAGGAAACATTTATTTAAAAGTCTATTTAATGAAGTAGAACGTGTTGCCTATATTTATTTAAAGTTGCGCATTTTGATGTGACGTCACATTCTCACCCCCCCCCCCCCCCCCCATCGTCACACATCGTCACAAATGTCTGACCCCCCCCTAGGTGCATGACGTCATTTATGGACGGCCCCTTATCCCAGTAGCAAAAGTAGCAAATGCTACGGGTCCCGCACTTTCAAGGGCCCCGCGCTAAATGCTGTCAAGCTATCAATTCCGGTTCAGTGATTCTGCACTTGCTCTATTACTATAGTACTACACTGCCTTCAACTTTTACGAACGACTGGGTGTTTAAGGTTAGCGATTTGTCGTATTATCTGGCTGTATGGCAAATGAAAAAATACAATTTCCTTACTATACAAGTAAAAAAATTGTGTTTTAATATTTACGTTTTTATTTTATTTTGGGCCTCTTTATAACATATGCTACAGGCCCCGCACTAGCTTAATCCGGCACTGGTTATAACACTGGTCAACGCACTTTTTCTGGCATGAGGTATTCCAACGGTTTGAAGGTTATTTTGGGGTGCTGATTCCAAATCTGGCATCAGTTTTTGTCTTGTCACATCAGGTTTTTGAGATATCAAATATTGCATTTTCAATAAAAACTGCAGAAGAAAAATCTTAAATAAATGTGGATATCTACATAAAGTGATATTATAAACACACTATCCTAAAAATACAGCACCATATTTTAACACTAAAGCAGTCACTGACTCGCAACAACTTGCAATCATAAGTGACGGAGTTAATTTCGGGTAAAATCAATGAAAATGGGGTATGCCGACAGCAAAAAAATGAGATGTGATAGAGCAAATCTGAGATCAGATTTGGAATCGGCACCCTGAAATTAGTCTAAAACAGCTGCAAAAGTCCAGGCCAGAATTTTTTTTTTTTGTTGACCAGTGTAATTAGAGGGCGTTCAACCTGGTGAATGTTGCTGGGCCAACATCGTTGACCCTCCCCCGTCGAACGCACGTTCGGCAGACGCGTCGCTCGGTTGCCAGAGTCACGTGACCACTGGGCAAGCGACCTTGAAGAGAGGGAGGCCCGTATCGAGGGCCAATTGTGACGTCACCACGTCGATATTTCGGTCACGTGACCACTGGGCAAGCGACCTTGAATAGAGGGAGTCGCGTATCGAGGGCCAATTGTGACGTCAGCAACGTCGATATTTCAGTCACGTGACCACTGAAGGGAGTGAGGACCGTATCGAGGGCCTATTGGGACGTCACCACGTCGATATGACAGGGTCCGTTGGCGTCACTGTGTGCTAGGAGTCTCGTCAAAAGAAGTTCAACATACTCTTTGATTCTTTCGGTAAAGTCACGTCGGTATAAAACAAAATGAATCATTAAATGTGTTTGTAAGAGAGTCTTGTCTCAATTATCGAGTTCAGATCGGAGTAACCTTATTCTCTCCGAGATTAGATATGGCTAGCTTTAAATAAAATCTGTTTAGAGTTCGGTGAGGACACAGCAGCAGATGTGAGTGTGAAAGCGATGGGTATTACCTTGTTATCGCGGCATCTCTTGAGGAAGGCCAGCGTCTCGAGAAGCTGTGACTTCTTGTCTCGTTGTTATTTCAGCATCAGTAATATCATCGTCATCAACAACCATGGTCTATCTACTGGTGGATGAAGGCCTCCCTCCCCGAGTCGTGGCCATCTCTCACGATCCTGCGATGCGTTTAGCACCGGCACATGAGCTGATTCACTCACCGCCCAGCAACCACGGAACGTTGAGCCCAACGTGAATCCAACCACATGCCAACGTTGATCCAACCACATGCCAACGTTGATCCAACGTGAATCCAACCACATGCCAACGTTGGGGCAACGTTAATCCAACCACATGCCAACGTTGATCCAACCACATGCCAACGTTGATCCAACGTGAATCCAACCACATGCCAACGTTGATACAACCACATGCCAAGGTTGATCCAATCACATGCCAAGGTTAATCCAACGTTAATCCAACCACATGCCAACGTTGAGGCAACATTGATTCAACCACATGCCAACGTTGATCCAACGTTGATTCAACCACATGCCATGGTTGGGGCAACGTTGATTCAACCACATGCCAACGTTGAGCCCAACGTGAATCCAACCACATGCCAACGTTGATCCAACGTTAATCCAACCACATGCAAACGTTGATCCAACGTTAATCCAACCACATGCCAACGTTGATCCAACGTTAATCCAACCACATGCAAACGTTGATCCAACGTTAATCCAACCACATGCCAACGTTGATCCAACGTTAATCCAACCACATGCAAACGTTGATCTAACGTTCATCCAACCACATGCAAACGTTGATCCAACGTTCATCCAACCACATGCCAACGTTGATCCAACGTTAATCCAACCACATGCAAACGTTGATCCAACGTTAATCCAACCACATGCCAACGTTGATCCAACCACATGCCAACGTTGATCCAACGTTAATCCAACCACATGTCTGTGCACGCCACATGCTATACAGTGCTGTACACGGGCCTTTCACGATCCAGCCATGATTTAATCGCTCCATCTCCGCGCGGGTGACGTGATCCCAGACGCGTTCCATTCCCCTGGCTGCCAATCCGTCACTACTCTTGACCCTCGGCTACCGTCCTGACCAAGCCCCTCGACCGTGACTTTTCTTGGGGGGCCGTCCATAAATGACGTCACGCGATTTTGGACGATTTTTTACCCGCCCCCCCTCCCCACTTTGTCACACGGCGTCACAAAAAGTCAAACCCCCCCCCTCAAATATGACGTCACAAAGCTCTGCCCCCCCAAAAAGAAAACATGCTTCATATCGCTTTAAACTATTGCAATTGTAGTGCGTATTTAATGTGGCGCTGCACTCTGATGTTGTAGGAGAAAACATTTATTAAAATTATTTAATTAAGTCGAACGTGTTGTTTATATTTATTTAAAGTTGCGCATTTTGATGTGACGTCACATTTCTCAACCCCCCTCTCGTCACACATCGTCACAAATGTCTGATCCCCCCCCCAGGTGCGTGACGTCATTTATGGACGGTCCCTTGGGGTGGCGCGGTGGTGAGATGTTATCTCCCTCGCCTGGTATGCATGAGGTCGTGGGTTCCATCCCGACCCTGACGATGCCCGCTGTATATGTGAAGTTTGCGGTGTCTCTGTCTCTCTCTCCCCGTGGTCGCGTGGATTTGACTCCGGGTCCTCCGGTTGCTCCCTCCACATGTAGAATCGACGCGCGTTCAGAGTTGTTTGGTTGCCATACATTTCCACGTGATAAGCCACTTCGTTGTGCTATCATTTGTGATTGCCAGGTCGCTTCTTGTAAAGAGCTTTATAGCTCAGTGGCACCTTACCTGGTACAAAAAACACATTCCTCCTGCGGAGGGAGCTGGTAGGAACGTTGGGTTGCTCGGTCAATGGCCAGGGTCAACGGCGGCGTGGTGTATTCCGCAAATATGCCCGACTGTGAGGGCGGGCACAAGCCGGCGTGAGTAGGTTAAACGTTGAGTTTTATAAGGGCACCACGGGGTGACCAGCCCCTCCCCACCCAGCCCCACCCCTCCCACCCCCCACCCAGCCCCTCCCCGCCCTCCCCTCCCCACCCAGCCGCTGCCTCCCCACCCAGCCCCTCCTTCCGCGAAGGACGGACGGACACAATAATCCCCTGTGGGCTGGTGGAACCAGGAGGTTCCTACCAGTGAAAAAACATTACGTAGTTTAGTTTTAACAGTTTAATTGATGACGTCACGACTCAGCGAGGGTGTTCTCGAATCCACACGCTCCGATTTGTGTCTCTCTCTCTCAGTGGAATTCACGGCGTGCATCTACCCATGCTTTAAT